ACAAGAATTTATAACAATAAAACAGTTGCATAATTTTTATGTTACGATTTGCAAAGAAAAACATGTACAATGTTTTGTAAATGCTAAAGAAAAACATGTGTGAAAAACAATACAATTCGTGGGCATCAAAAGAATTAAACAAGTGTTTACTTATGCGACTTATGCATTGAACACGAAAAAAATAATATCGACGAAGCGTAGGGAATAAAGTTGAAAAATTTTGAGAAAAACAGTGCTCGAAATGAACAACGTGAAGATAAGACTAAAACTCACTTTCAAAAGAAAGAATGTATTATGCTCTGTATGGACTTGCAAAGTTGGGATACCACAAATTTAACAAACATAACACTAGAGCTCATCAAGCTACTTGTTACTGGTTTACAGAAGTAGAGTGCGGTTTGCAGGCTTCCACGTTTGTTTCTTGTTTAATGGATTATTTAGAGAGGCACTGCTTGAGAGAAAATCTACCTATCGTAATTTACTATAACGGTTGCACATTTCAAAACCGAAACAATGTTATGGCAAACGCACTTCTTAATTTTGCCGTTAAGTATAGAGTCTCAGTTACGCAAAAATATCTTACCAAAGGTCACACACAAATGGAATGTGACTCTGTACATAGCTGTATTGAAAGAAAACTAAAAAATAGGGTTATTAAGTTACCAAGTGATTATGTTAAAGCGTCGAAAGAGGCTAGAATAAAACCTGATCCATATGAAGTTATTCAACTAAGTCACGACTTTTTTAAAGATTATGCCAGATCAGAACTGCAGCAGTACTCACAATCAAACCTGGTAGAAATAATTTTGTTGTAGACATTAAAGCTTTATGGTATAATCCCGAAGGAATAATTCAATTTAAACTAAATTTTAACGAAGAATTTCAGCATCTTCCTGTTAGACCCAAAAACATTGAAACCAATATAGATTACCCAAAGCTATACAACAATCGTTTGGCAATCACTCAAAAAAAATGGCGTCACTTACAAGATTTGAAGAGTGTCATATCAAAAGAATGTCACATATTTTACGATCTTCTCCCATATACAAAGGAAAATTCTCCAAAAGGCCAAAAGGAAGAAATACAAACCCCACATCGAGCTTCTAAAAAAAACCAGTTCAAGATAGAAATAGTACCTAAACGCTATTTTAATTTTATTTTTGTAACTAGATAGTTAAGTTTGACAAATCATTCAATAAACATTTGTGAACACCATTTAACAGTTAATAATAAAAAATATAAGTAACATGCATAGCAGGTATTGTCAGATCGCCAACGATCGCCTAAAGAAGCTATTATATTTCATCTTCTAGTCTATCTATAGTGCATTGGGGTTAACTGTTTAATTTATACCACTGATTTCGCAATATTGGGGTAATATTTGCTACAAGATCAAATACTACTCGGATTTCAAGCAGTTTTAAATGGCCTTTTCTCCAAAGTTTTTTTTTTGTAAGCCTCCATATTATCTTTATATAAGATTTGATATGAAATATATTTAACTTTTCAACAGATCTTAATATGATACGTAATATATATATCAGTTTTTCTTTGTTTTACAGTATTATTGTCTTGTGTATGTTTCCTCGTCCATAATTTTTCGTTAATACATGTTAACATGTTTAGTTCATGAAATTTTTAGTTAACTTCGGTTGATTCACATCTTAAATGAACGATCTCATAAAGCATAGCCTAGCTTAGCTTGGACGTAGCGCTGGCGAAAACAAAATTAGATTCGGCGCTTGAAGGCAGTTATGGAAGTGTTAGACGTAGAGATAAGTGTTCCTCGTCTTACAGGCTGACAAAGATAAAGGGAAAACTGTGATCATAATTTTATTATGATGCTATAACATATTGAAAAAGAACTGTTTTTATTCCTACACTGGACGATATTACGACTGACATGAAAGCACAAAAAATATTTGTTATTTAAAATAATTCAACATACTTTTACCCTCACAACTACTGAAATATGGCGGTTATGATTAGAGACTGGATTATATGCAAAATGCATGTGCATATATATGCAGCATATTTGTGGGTTTCTTTATAAATGCATAATATGCTATTCATATTTACTTGATTAAGAGCATATTGCCACATATTTGAAAATATCACATAAATAAAATGGTTTTCTATACATATTTAGATAATAGTTTCTTGGAATTATTCATAGCAGGTACTAGGTAAGGTAACTACGAAATAATTTTATTACAAATATCTACTAAATCTACAAGTTTTATTGTTTGGGAAAACCCATCTGGGAATTATTTATCAGAAGAATAGGGCCAACATGCAGCTAGGTATTATACAGTAAATTCGTTTTTAAATTCTCTTTACCAGCTGGCAAAGCAACTTGTGATTGTGAATATTGTGCTTATAAAATAAAAATAATTTCTTTTTTGAAAATATGCCGAAAGTAGCGAAACAAAAATCAAGTCTATTGCGGAGTTGGGTTGGTGGCAACAGTGAAATGAAGATTATAGACAATGAAAGTGTTTTCTGTACTATTTGTGATAAAAAGGTGAGTCCACTTATATTTTAACGATTCAAAAATTTAATTTAAAATCTCATTTTTGCAAGAAAATCGGTATACCTATACTAAACATGTAACAGTTTGACTATTGGCGGTAGTTTTAGTTTCGAGAAAAAAATATAAGTTATCTTAAAAATTTGAAGTCCATATTATTGCATTAGACTCCTATTTACTAAACCGTTTTATTACAGATTCCATGTGAAAAAAAATTCCAAATTTCCCAACACCTGAAAACGGCTCTCCACCAATATAAACTATCTAAGGACTTCAAGAAACCACGCCAGCAGCTTCTGCAGAACAACATTATTCAAAATCGTCACACATCGACGGGGCAAGAAATGTTTGCAAAAGATGTATGCAATTTTTTTGTAAGTTGCAATATCCCACTGTATAAATTGGATAGCAAGGTGTGTCAAAATTTTTTGAAAACATATTGTAAAGTTGAAAATAAGTCAGTACAGGTACCAAGTTCTTCAACTCTTCGCAAGAAATATGTGAGGGCATCTTACAAAGACGTTATTGAAGGTATTAAAAGCCGGGTAAGAGATGAATATCTGTGGATATCTGTCGACGAGACTACTGACGCCAAGGGTCGGCAAATCGCGAATTTAATTATTGGAGTTTTAAACAGTTCAGCTGATGACTCCAACAAGTCGTATTTAATCAGCGTAAAATGTTTAGAAAAAACCAACTATGCAACAATTGCTCGATTTGTTAATGAATCTTTGACAAATTTCTTTTTACCGAATCAAGTACCTTCTGAAAAAATTTTGCTACTAGTTAGCGATGCCGCTTCCTACATGGTTAGCGCATGGTTTAAATAGGGTGGCAGAGAAAGTTAGACTCAAGTTTCCAAATGTAAACACTTTAATCAACAATATAAAGAAAGTATTTTTAAAAGCACCATTGCGAGTAGAAGTATATAGGGAGATGCTTCCCGATATCCCTTTGCCACCGGAACCAGTGTTGACTAGATGGGGGACGTGGTTGAATAGTGCCATATTTCTTGCAAATAATTATATTGATATCAAAAATGTTATATCAAATTTTGATCCTTCTTGTTGTATTGCTGTTCAGAAATGTCAAAATATTTTTAGTAAGAATTCTGTTCAGAATGAACTGTCCTATATAAAAGCAAATTTTGACATAATTGTAAACTCTATTACAAAGCTAGAGAGTCAAAAATTATCTTTAAATGATAGTATTTGCATTGTTGATTCTGTCAAAGAAAGAATAGTAAACCTTTCAGGGACAATTGAAAAAAAATTAAAGATAAATTTAGTGAAGTTTTAAACCGGAATGAAGGCTTTTCTTTATTGCGATCAATAAATAACATAATCAATGGAAGCTTTAACGAAGTTATTAATATGGATCCCTCGCTAGTGTCAAATTTTAGATTTGCGCCAATTACATCCTGTGATGTTGAAAGATCGTTTTCCTCATATAAACACATATTAACTGATAGAAGGCATAACATTACTCTTGAAAATATTGAACATTTTATGATTATATACTGTAACAGCAAGAACGAGGACATTTTCTTGTGAATTTTCATTTATATTTTTTTATTAAATGTAGTAATAAATAAACACTCTCTAAGTTATACTATAATTTTATTTCTCACCAAATCTCAAGACCTAAAAATTAAAAAAAATTAAAGTGCATATATAAATGCATATTGCATATAATAAAGGCATATTTGGTTACTTTTAAGTGCATGTTGCATGCATATTTTAACCATTTTTTAGAGCATATAATCTAGTCTCTAGTTGTGATCTGGAATATTAATTGAATCTGTGCTTAACTAAACTGAATAGCAAACAGCTATTTGCTTATCTACCTGTATCTATTGTTACAGTAGAAAGAAGTTTTTCAACTTTGCATAGTACAAACACATGGCTGAGGTCGACAATGAAGGGGAACCGACCTAATGGCTTGTCCAGTGTAAGCGAAATGAGTCAATACTCACAATCTTAAGTAGTTTTTATTATTTAATGTTAAATTTTGGACCACCAGTTTCAAGGTTTATATTATACGTCCCATCTTCAGGCTCCAGTACGTTAGTCTTATTTACTAAAAACTACAAGCTAAAACAACATAAAACAAAAAATGAATAACTGAAACACAATAAAATAATAATAAATAATAGTAAAATAATCAAGCAACTATAACATTAATTGAGAGTGAGATTGGCAAAGTAAATATTATATTGGGACGTCAGTGCCATTGGATGTAACCAATTTGATGGAAATTGCATCATATAGACAGTGAGTCAGTGGTGTTAAAATTGAATTATACTTACAACAAAACAAAATTATTACTTACATATCAAATACAGCAATGCTCTATAAACTAAGGTAATCCTATAAACCACCTTAACACTCAAAAAATCCTTCACTTAAATCCAGGAATGTATATGTTTTCAGATATAAAAGATATTATTTTTTTTTATAATATTTTTTAGGATATGTTATTGGTTATGAAGATTGGAGTGAGTTACGTCTTCCCAAACCAAAAAAACCAAAGAGGCATAGAAAAATGAGATCTAGACGTCAACAAAAGTTACACCACGAAGTAGAAGGAGACGATGTTGTTCAGTCAGTTACTAATTATGAAACACTAGCCGAGAAGGGAGAAGGAGACTACACTATGATGGATTATTTGTAAGCATTTTGTTATATTTTTCTATCCTTATAATTAGATAGAAACATAATAATATGTTATATCTGTTATATTATATCTGTTTTACCATACACGTAGTGTATGTCCATCAATAAAAAAATATTTAATAAATAATGTGTCATTTACTCTAATTTTACGTAAATTTATAAAACAACAACAAAATTTAAAATTTATGATGGTATAAGTTTAACATTCTGTATCAACATACATTAAGCCTAAGACCGGTGCTGTAACGGTACCGGCACCGATTTTCTAACTTGTATATTAATTTTGGCTTAAATCGATTGTTTATTACAAGCTGTTAAATTTGTTTAAATTCAGTATTGTAATTATTAACCGACAGAAATATATTTTATTAACTATATTATTGAAAAATAATTTCCATTGAATAACCTCCAATTCCATAAATATTTACGTTATTTGTAGGGGTGAAGGCGGTGAAGAAGAAGAACTTTTATCAGAGGAAGAATCCGAAATTCAGTATCCTCCAATGATTCACAGGGGTTCAGATTTTTGGAGGGAAAAGGAAAAGTCGGGAAGGGCATGTGTTTTGGCATTTAACAAATTTGATGATATGGTTAACCACATTTATACCAATATCCCACCAAAACTTATACCAGAAACCAAATTTGAACTTAAAACGGTAAAACTTACAAACAACAATGATGTGAGGCAAAGATTTAATACAGAGTGTGAAAGGACTGATGTTTATTCAGGAAACTGGTACTTCTTTGAGGAAATAGACAAAGGAATGTGGATATTAAGAGGTAAAACGAACTGTTTGCAATATGTATTTATGCTGTCAGTTTTTAATAAATTCTAATTATTTAACGTTATCTGCCTCCCTTTTACCATATTAGTATACTATATTTTACCACTCGTCTGTTAGGAACATTTTCTTTGCAATTTTTTATTTCTACATTTCGTGAATCTTTCAAAACCTTTTTATGTCATGTTTCTCTTGATCGGTCTTTTTTTTTCGACTCAATACTTTGCAAGCAACCAAGCAATAGAAACAAACCCAGCCTGTGAGACATATACACCCCTTAGAAAATGACAGACAAAACAATGTATTGGGTTGAGGGGGATTGATTCTAGAAGATCAGGAACCACTGCACCTCCCCCTAATGCTTCAGACTATCCTCGACTCCCCGATAACACCCTGATGTGCTATATAGACTACAAATCGGCAAAATGTTTGTCGCATGGAAGTCCTTGGTTTAAGGACTCCCACATGAAATAATTGTTCTAGTTAGGCTGAAGACCCTCTCATGACGGGGTCTTAAACTGCGAATATGGGGATGGTGTGGATGAGTGAGCATGATCTTTCTCTCGTGGAGGATAAGACGGAAGCTGTAGTACTCAGAGGCTACAGAAAGAGAGATATGATTTAATTTGAGTGCGCGGGAGCGAGAGTGTCGCCCAAAAAGTACGTCAAGTATCTGGGAGTTATTCTCCACCAGGGTGGGAGTTGAGGGGACATTTTTAGGAGGGGTGAACCGTTGGTGAAACGGGGGTGAACCGGGGTATTGTGCAGTCTTTCGTTCTCTACGCGGCCCCAGTCTGGAGTAAGGCGGTAGAAATACCAACTAACAAGAGGCTCATGGTACGCGTGGACAGAACTAGTCTGCTGCGGGTAGCATGTGCCTATAGGACTTTGTCAGCTGCCACTTTGTGGGTTATCACCGGCTGTGTTCCTTTACATGTGCTAACAGGTGAAAGGGCAAGAATTCACCGTCGTAGGGGGCGGAACATTGAAAAGCGAGAAATAAATGAGATAAGACTGGCCGAAAGATTAGTTTCAATTGGTTAGTGGCAACAAGAGTGGGAGCAACACGTGATGTGGCAGAGTGGACGAATCACTAATCCCAAACATTCGAAGCTTGGTGGACTGTGAGCAGGCATAGGCAGCTAGATTGTTACCTAACGCAAATGCTCACAGGCCATGGCTGCTTCCGCAGCTACCTTTTTAGGTTTGGGAGAGCGCAGTCCGATCAGTGCCTTTACTGTAGTTTCTCGGATACTGTGACACACACGATGTTGAAGTGTGAGCGTTGGGCGGATAAAAGAGAGAAATTGGTATATATATATATATATATATAATATATATATATATATATATATATATATATATATATAATATATATATATATATATATATCCCGTTTATAGCGTAATCCGCCTTTGGGTTCCCGTTCGCCAAGCCTGTCTATTCTGCCAGTCTTCTTCAAATAGATTTCTTGCTGACATGGCTTTTGAAATTCCTTGCATCCATGTTGTTGGTGGTCGTCCTCGTTTTCTTTTCTCTGGTGGTACCCATTCTAATATTTTTTTTGGTAGTCTTTCTTCCCCCATACGTCTAACATGTCCGTACCATGTCAGTTGTTGTTTTTCGATGTCTTCTATAATTGATCTTTGTACATTCATTTGATTTCTTATGTCCTCATTTCTCACATGTTCTAATCGAGACTTTCCCGCTGCTCTCCTCCAAAAATCCATTTCAACTGCCAAGAGGTTACCTCTAAGTTTTTGTGATAACTGCCATACTTCTGAGCCATACACGATTACTGGTTTCAATATTGTGTTATATATTCTTTTTTTCGTTTCCGGTCTTATATTTTTCTGCCATAGTACTGAATTTAATGCATCTATAACTCGTTTCCCTTTGGTTATTCTGTCTTTTATGGCTTCATCAGTTCTTCCTGTCTTTGTTAGTTTTACCCCCAAATATATACATTGATCGCATTTCTTAATTTTCCCGTCTTCTAAGTCGAGGTCATCTGCAGTATTTTCTCCAGAAATTGATTGAGAAATTGGTAAAAGAGTTTAACTGCAGAATGTTTGATTCCGTGAGATAATTCCGGTGGATAAAATTATGAGGGATGAGTGGTGGTGGACACGGATCCACAAATTTATCAGGGACCTGCTCTCTTCAAAAGAACGAAAGGAGAGGATACTCGCAACAGAATTCTAAAACAAGCGCGTAGCACCTTGGTGGAGTTCGGACTGTTGCAGGCCGAAATAAGAGTAAATGAGAGACAGACGAAGCGAGAGAGATGGCAGCCTCGCTAAGGCAGGGGTTAAAAGTTCTTGGTGGTTCGTGTGGGTGTGGTTTCCTCGATGAATGTGTCGGAGAAAGAATGGGAATCGGGTGATAGCAGGGCATCAGGAGAGATGTTTGCTTTAACCGATCTTCCATCCTGATGTCTGGTGTGACAGAGGAGAGGTTTTTAGTTCTACGCCGACCGTCTCGAACGTCTAAATTCCTTATGCATTTCGCTCTGGCACAGCTTCGCTAGGGTATTAGGAATCCAACACTACCTGTGTGAGTTACAGGTGTCTGTATGCAGATTTTTCTTCTTCTCTTTACAAATGTAAAAAAAAAGTTTGGCTGAAGAACTTGAGGCACTATAATCCTGCTATTATCTTGACATATCATCATTGTGCTTTTGTTTACTTGGGCGCAGATTTTTAGCTCCGAACTAGGTTCAGTTCGGTAATTCGTCTCTCGAGAGTTTGAGCACCTCCTTTTCGTTTTTTCTGTTTTTTTTTTTAGTAATTGGCATATACACTTTCACTTGTACACTGTACACTGTACACTTTTTCACTTCCAATATGTGCATTGGGAGCGGTTTTTGCCTATTTTTCTTGGGTTTATGAAGGGAAAGCTTATTTGGATCTACGTTATATCTAACAATTGATTCCTTGTCAACTTATGTTAGATTTTGGTTTGGTTATAGTCCTCTGATTACCATCTTTAAGTTTACATAAAATAGAAATGCAATCCATTGGATCTTGGTGTTTTTTGTTGAATTCTTCAAGTATGTACGTGAATTTGTAGTAGCCCACAATGTGTATCGTTTGAACAAGGCATTCTATGCCGTTTTTTGTAATCTTATTCATTGTATAGATTTTTTGTTCTTGGCCTTTGTTTCCTTGAAAGATTGTAATTTTCTTCCCACTATTTTTCTGAATGCTAGAAGTAAGCTTATCAGCCTATAATTTTACAGAAAGTTTTGTTTGAATAAAAAATTTTTTATATGGGTTTTTTTCTATCGGTTTGAGAAGAGTCTGCATTTATAATATTTCTTAAATAAACTATGGTTTTGATAGTTATAAAAGGCTAGTTATAGAAAATACTAACAGAGCCCTGTTTATCATATCGTTCGGTTCAGGTCCGCCTTTTTTAGCAAGTTCTTTATAATTAACTCGCTTATTTCCTTTGGTGATGTTGGGGTGATTATGCTCTTTTGGTCTTTGGGCATTTCATAGAAAATACTTACAGAGTCCTATTTATCATATAATTCGGTTCAAGTCCGTCTTTTTAGCGAGTTCTTTATAATTAACTCGCTTATTTCCCTTGGTGAAATTGGGAGATTATGCTCTTTGGTCTTGCTTGTGGACTAAATTTATTGTTCTCTCGTTCTCTCTCTCTTTCTTAATATTACTTTTATGTTCTGACCTCATTGTTCCATTACTTTTACGTGCTCATCCCATTTTTGGCTTCTTATTATCATTCTCTTGATTTTCTTGCTATTTTTCTGGCTCTTTTCTTTTCTCTTATCATTTCTCTTAGTTCAGGGTTTACTTCTCTAAATCTACCCTATGAATCCTATGATCTTCTTTTCTGGTGCTGTTTTTTATAGCTTCTTTTATAGTATTTTCAAACTGTAGGACTTTATCTTCCAGTTCTTATGGATTTTCTATTACTGGAATATTTCCAATTCCTTTTACTTATTAGTATCTTGAAGTTTGCCCAATTTTTTTCCGTATTACTGGGTGTTCCACTTTCCAAGTTCTTATGTCTAAAAGTATAAGATTGTAAATCCCTGTTTCTTTATCTAACGACTGTGGGGTTTGTAGTGCTAGATTTTTGGCCACTAGCAAGTCCAGATAGCTGGGTAGGATATTTCCGCTCTGGTAATGTTTTGATGTTCACTACTGATCATTGTGTGTTGATTCCACGATCAGTTTCATATATTTGATATTTGCGATATTTTTAAATTTATGTAGGTCTTATTTTCCACTTCCAGTAGATGCATTGGGGGCGGTTTTTGCCTTTTTTTCTTAGCTTTATGTAGGAAAAGCTTATTTGAATCTACGTTATATCTAATGAATAATTCCTCGACAATTTATGTTAGATTTTACTATGATTATAGTCCTCTGATTACCATCTTTGAGTTTACATCCATACATATATCTTACAATAGAGATGCAATCCATTGGATCTTGATTTTTTTGTTGAATTATTCTAGTATAGCTGTATTTGTAGTAATCCAAACCGTTTATAGTTTGAATAAGGCACTCTTTGCCGTTTATTGAAACCTTGTTCACTGTGTATATTTGTTGTTTTGAGCCCCTGTTTCATTGAGAGTGAAATTTAATTACAAGCGGTTTACCTTCTTTTTTGTAGTTATTATCTTTCTTCTTCCTGACTGGATATGGTTTCATTTGTTTACATTATTTCTTCTTCTACTACTTCTCTGTCCTTGCTCGACAAGGAAGGAAATTTTTCGTTATATTTCTTCGTTTCTACTAAGGCCTTAGTCGGTTTCGTAGGAGATTTTGTGATCTGCTGGCTTTTCGCCAACGTCTCTAGTCTGTTGTTCGGCTTGGTTTATTTATTTTTCTTTATTTATATGTGACGTTTTGGAAACCATCATATACCATGCCTACAGTCTCTGTAGCTGGCTTGTTTTTATTATTGATTGATAATAGCTCCGTAAGTGCAAAAATCATCTCATTTTGTCTTTTATTTTCCGAGTTTATTTTTCTTATCCAGATTTTCCACCTGGGGTGACATTCTGTCGATACGCTTGCCGTAGTCTTCGTGCATTTTGCAACTATTGTTATATTTAATTTCTCTATTTGTCCTATCATTTTGTTATTTTCTTCTTTGGTATTTTATTTGTCCCTTTACTAGCTTCCAAATCGAGGACTCTATCTGTCACTAACTTATTGTTGTTAGGTCTGCTCGATCATCGACTCAGAACATACTAACTCTACTGCCAGATTAATAACATAAGATAGTGTTAAGTATATAGTACCATATATCCTTATAGGTGTCTCAACCATCGGAATGCAAAACTAATAACATTTATATTTTCTTCTGATGCACTACATTACTGGAGATTTGCGATTACTACATCAAAATATTCTCTATTCTGTGCCTTCTTCTTCGCGTGCCATATCAGAATTATCCGACGTTGGCGATCACCATTGCGAAGGCTTCTCGATCTTCTGCAATATGGAATAATTGTCCTGCATTTGGTATCAGAGTCCATTCACGAATGTTTTTTAACCAAGAAACTTGTTTTCTTCCTACACCTCTACGGTCCTCTATGTTGCCTTTAAGGATCAGTTGTAATATTTTATATCAACTTCCCCTTACTATATGTCCCAGATAAGACATTTTTCGATGTTTAACAGTCTTTAGCAGTTCTCTATCTTTGTTGACGCTCCTCAGTACTTCTTCATTAGTTTTCCTTGCTGTCCAAGGTATCTTCAGCATTCGTCTATGAACCTACATTTCCAATGCTTCAATTTTGTTCATGATCGATAATTTTAGCATCCACACTTCTGCACTATACAAAAGTACGAACCAAATATAGCACTTAACCCTTCTTTGCCTTAGTTCTAAACTGAGATAGTTATTGCAAAGAAATGACTTTATATTCATAAAAGTAGTTTTAGTCATTGCTATGCTACGTTTTATTTATATGTCTGGATCTAGTTGGTCCGTTATCACAGTTCCCAAATATGTCATTTTGTGAACTTTCTCAACTTGGACTCCGTTTAATTGAAGCTTTGCATCGGGATGTGGGTTACGACTAAACACTAAAAATTTGGTTTTTGTTTGAATTTATTTTAATACCCATTTCCACTCCTACCTTATGAATACGATCAAGCAGAATTCTGTGCCACTCTGAGTAATTATTAAATGTTCATGCCAGTCCAAGTTCTAATATTACGAAGCCATAGCATGGCTCTGCTGCCTACTCCTCCTCGCCCTCTATCTTCTTTCTTCAATTATTATTCGTAGCAGGATATATTTGTCATTTCTCATTATGTGGCCTAGGTACGAGATCTTTCTTTTTTTAATGGTTGTTGTAAGTTCTAACTCTCTATTTATGGTGTTTAATACTGTTTGATAATATTATATTTTAAAAGTGTTTAAATATTTATGGTCCTATTTTTTAGGTACGATGACTATAACTAACGAAATGTTTCCACAGCAGAACCGAGGAAAACAGCAACTGACTACAACAATCGCAGCTCTAGCTGTAGCTTTCATTTTCTGCGTAGTATGCTATAACGATACCAGCGTTGATTCCATTTTAAAATATGGTAAGTAAAAAAAATAAACTACTAGCTTATATGGGTGAAAAAATTTCAGAGAAGAATTCCCACAAGACAAAAAACAAACGTATAATCGTATCGAAAACGAAAACTTGTATTAACAGAATCAAGGCAGGTTTACACGTATCCAGTAACTGGCTCCAGTCGCACTGGTACGACAGCGCTGGCATAGTAGTCACATCATGTAAACACTTTTTTTGCCGCAGTCCAGCGGTGTCTCGAATAGATAGCTGGTTTATTCTTCATGCCAGTGGCCCTCATGCCAATAAACAGGTGTCTGCCGATATGCGCTCGAACGTTTTGCGCTTGACAGTTTTGCGCCTTTACCTGAAATCGGCCGGTTTGCTCTCTAACACTTTCTTAATGGAGATGTATAGCTAATTATTTTCTTATATCGACCGTTTTGCGCTCTCTTGTAATCGACGTTTAATTTTATTCTACCATAACGATCAGGTAACGGTTAGGCTAGTAAAATTAGTTTTAAAAAATCATAAAACTATAAAAAAAAAAAATAAACCATCTTCCCTTCACACTTTCATTCAGGCTTAGGACTGTCATAGTTTATACATAATATAAACATTGGCGTGTTTAGAAGATGTTTTTTTTTATTTTTTCATTTTTTTTGTTTTTTTTTATTTGTTAATTTTTTTTTTATTTTTTTTTTATTTTTTTCGTTTTTTTTTTCAAACTTTTTATACAGTAAAATACAAAAAATTCTTGGGAATAAAAAATTGTCTATTTATTGCAGCTTCTGGATATATGCCAATGTCCTTAAACACAACCTTAAGTCCCTTGTATCTTTATATTTCTGTAAAGTTTTGGATATTCTTTCATCAAGATTAATATATGTTTTCTTGCGCCGCTTTCCTTCTAGATTGAAAGTAAATCGATCATAAAGGTGATCACAATATTCTGCTTCTTTAACCAGGCACTTCACTAATTGGAATACATTGGGATGTGGTCTTATTAATGTATTCAGACGATGATTCCAACCTTCTAAAACGTTATAACTGCGATGTGTTTGATCATGGTAATTCCACATTTCTTGGTATGTGAGTATTTTCTAACCATTGTTTGACAAAGTAGTCATAAAACGGTTCCATTTTTTCAGAAATAGGAGATGTTTCTTGAATGCATAACCAGCCATCATCGATATCTTCTATGGGCAGATACACTAACGCAGCTGGGATCAGCCCACGCGCACGTTTTCTACAATCGTTTTTTTCACTGAAGAGAATTTTGGGATGTCTGTCACGAAATCCAGTTCTTGACATATTATTTTTGAAATTTATCTTGATATATTTTTGACATCGACAAATAACTATTGTCTTCCCTAGCTCTTTTTCGAGCATTGAAGACACACTGCTTCACTTCTGTCGCTGCAACACTCGGCTTACACAGATGTTCGGCTTCCTTAATTATTGTGTTATTATCCATAATTATGTGGCCTCGACATTTTTCAGTTTTCTCTTTCAAACAACTCCAAAAAACCGAACCATCTTTATTTGTTTTTTTCATACGAAAACTGTACCCTTTATACAATGCACATGGTTTTCCCTTCGAAGTTTCAATAATTTGCACATCCATTTTTAAAACACTAACTCACACTGATTCACAATAATTCTTGATCCTACTATCTCAAAGAACGCAATAGAAATGATTGACCATTAATATGGTCATTATCACGTAGAATTTTCAGGTAATTTTTCTGTTACCATACCCTTTGTTAATGACTTAAGTAGTTACCAGTTCGCATTATCAGGTAGAAAGGAAAGTTAGTTCCAGCGATCTCTCATTTTGGGAATTCTAGTTACTAATTATATCTAAACAATTAACTTCCAGGTAGAAGGATTATAAACAGAGGTATTAAAGATTAAAGAACACTCTGTTGTTCGACAGTATTAGAAAAATTTAATAATTTTGTTAGTTTTGATTTGACATTTTTTTTTCAAATCTAAAGGAAAAAGATGTTTCTGTTTATTTGACATGTTAGTTTGTTCATTGCAGGTTCACCAGACTATTATTGTAGAATGAAATTAAAATTATATTGCAAGAGAGCGCAAATCGGCCGATTAAGGAAACTATAGTAGTTAGATATTTCTATTATGAAAATTGCAAAGTGCAAACGGGTCGATTTCAGGTAAGGGCGCAAAATGGTCGAGCGCAAACCAGCCGTATTCGTGTAAACACATATTTTCAGTCGCTGGTATATCTGTGAAGAGTAAGTTACTATAACGACTGACTTCACCATGTAGGAACTGGCACCAACTGTTGGATACCTATAAACGTTCCTGTCCAGCGTTATCCTAGTCAAGCACTGGCATGCCAGTGACACTGATGCTAGTTACCAAATATGTACGTATAAACACGGCTTAATTTAATGTGTTAGAAAGAGGAACAATAATAAAAAGTAAACTATTAATTAAGCTGCGAAATAAATGAATACAGAAAGCTAGAGCTGCTGATATTATTTGAAAGTTTTAATCATTTATTTTGATGGTGGTTTTAATGATTCTAAGTTAATAAAAGATTATGAGTACTTGTATGACAAACCATACTAATAATAAATTACAGAAGATGTATAAATCTCTGCGGCCATGGAAGTATTAAACCTAAAATGTAACCTATTTTCTAAAATATTGATCGCCTTTGTAAATTTTAAAGAAACGAATTTCAAATTAATTTTGACTTAATAAACCTTTTTAGGCGACAAATTGTTTACATTTATCAAAAACTATCGAAAAAAGCAGTTAAAACAGTTGACCTGCGAATGTGAAAATACCAGGAACAAACTTTGTGACGAAGATATAGGGTGGTTGATTCAGAATGAGGAGGTGACCCTTAACGACATACCCAAGAAATTTTGTATCTCCAGGTTTATGGTAATCATCAATATTGAACCTGATGTAGTAGTGGGAGATGTAAATGCTCAAGATTTTGAAGATATTAATGATGTTAAAAGAGGTTTAAGAAAATTTTTTGAAAATCATCAGTTTGGTGTACTTCAAGCAAAAGGTAGTATTTATTATATATTAGACAATTATTGCACAGTGTATATTTTTTTTTATTTTAATTGTTGACATTCATATTATTACTTATATAATACAGAGTGGCCCAAAAGTCTGGAAACGGCCAATTATCTCGTAAATTGCTAGTTATAATCAGGGGCGGCTCGTGATAGTACAAGATAGTGAGGCACACTACACTTAAGGAAAATTATTATTATTATGGTTAGCTTCTCTTTGCTCCAGTCATACCCGGCTAAGGAGGCATTGCTCGCGCCAGCAAACAATGACTTGGCGTGAGAAGGACTTCTGACGATACGCGCGCGGATCAACAAAAGTCATCCTCACCTCAAAGCTCTCCTAAGCCCTCCTCCACCCTCCCTTATGTGCACTGAAGGTGCAACATAAGGGCTGACTGCTTTTTGAAAAAGTCCGCGATTGAGCTGTATTTATGAGCACCATGTGTAATAGGGTGCTCATAAATGTAACTTAAATGATACCCAAGGTGTCGTTAAGCGACTTACTCCGGTTTATCATGAAATCTCGTATCGTGAGATAAAAGCGAACGAAAAACGAGGGAGCTCTAATCCTCGAGCCCGCACCTTGGTTAGCGGCCAAGTTGTAGCCTCAAGGATCTAGGTGGCCTCTCCCGTGGCCTTTTTTTATTTTTATAATTTTTTTGTGAATTTTTTATTATTTTATATTTTTTTTGAATCTTTATATTTTTTATTAATTTTTTTGGGATTTTTATATTTTTTTGGGGGTTAGTAGGTATTTTTTATCTGGGAGATTTGTTAGTAAGTGTTATAAATGGCGACTGCTAATCTAGTGCCATCTTCTTCACGCTCTCACATATCCCTTCAGTTGAAGCTTCGGTCTAGCATATCTCCATTGATCGTTCTCGTCGTAAGATGTTAGCCGGAAGGTCGATTTTGTGACATCATAACGTGAGGCCGTTTACGTTAAATAAACTTAAACAAAGGGTTAAATTTTGTTTTTTGGTTTTTTATTTCACGATTTTTAAAAATTATAATTATTTTAGAAAAACTTCAAAAAATATAAATTCTAAAAGGAAAACTGAGTTCTAAAATTTAAAGTTTTTTATAAATTAAAGGAATTCTGCGAGACTTCTGTTCTGCAAAATGATCTATTACATCGTCTATAAAAACGTTCTCATCCTGTGATTTTATAAATGATTTTTCAATTGAGATTTTTGCCATATTACTCAATCGTGTCTGTCCAGTTGTATTTCTGATGTAATTTTTAATCCTTTTTAGCGCGGAGAAACTTCTTTCTGCAGAAGCACTTGTCACTGGCAAAACAACACAAATGCATAATAATTTAAAAACTTCTGGCATACAAAGTTTTAAATCATAATCGTGAAAAAAAGTTAACATTTCATAAGGGCTTGCGCAATTTTCTATTATATCATTCCCGTACATAGCGGATAACTCACTTTTTAGTTGATTTATATCAAAAATATTATACTGCGTTGTCAAGTTTTTTAATAGATCATGAGGAAATTCTTTAGCAAAAATGGGAAATTTTGATATATTCAACAGATCAAAGAAATGTAATTTTTCAACGTCGCAAAACCTAACCTCTATTTGGGTTGCTATAATGTCAAGAATTTCAAAAAAAATTTGCCTTAATTGTTGAGTTTTATCAGTCATTTCAACTCCCTTACGACGACGTTTCGAGTGTAACGCAGCGGTATCCAGTTTTTCATAAATTGTATCAAAATAAGTACTGTTACTCCTAAATTCACGTATTTTACTTAGGGTATTTTGAAGTAAATTTCTGGCCTTAACAATGTCTGTATTTCTATTTTGTAGAATGGAAAAAACAGTATCAGTTTGATGAAAAATCAACGAAAATATTTCTAAAAAAAATATGTTCTGAGGATCTTCTAAAAAAGCTTTTAAACCTACTGCTTCTCTTATTGTTTTGTCATCAAAATCGCGACTATTAATAATAAAATCAAAGGTCTCAAGTAATTTATCCTTATTATTATTAACTGTGAGAACTGCGCGTGAAGTAAAATTCCAGCGAGTTGCTACATTAGAAGGTATACGATTTCCTCCAATGTGTTCTAACACTTGGGTACGCTTTGTAGATTTAGAAAAATATGAAGAAAAACCGGATAAGGTTGAGAAAAAAACTTTAACTTGTTGAATTGAACTGCATGCGTTACTTAAAACTAAATTAAATACATGTGCATAGCAATGAATGAACATGGCTTGAGGCGCTATAGATTTAATTTTTGCCTGTAGACCATTCACTTCTCCCGACATTACAGAAGCTCCATCGTATGTCTGAGCCACTAATTTACTATGCAAGTTGAACTTTCGAAATTTGGTAGATAAAAATTCAAATAAATCTTGAGCAGAACGCCCGGAACTTACATCGTAAAATCCCATGAATCGTTCGACTGGTTTATCGTTTATTACGTATCGAAAAATAACGGATAGTTGTGAATGGCAGCTTATATCAGTAGTCTCATCCACCTGCCAGGAAAAGAATAATGATTTTGAAATTTCTTCCTCAATTTTTTTATTTATAACAAAAGCAATTGAATCGATTAATTCATTTTGTATGGTTTTAGATGTCCCAGAAAAAACTGATCTAGAGTCATTATCATGTTCTAAAAATGTTTTTAAATTAGTGTCAAATTTACTAACAAGAACAACTAGCTCTTTGAAATTCCCGCGATTTAAAGATTCATTAGATTCATCATGCCCCCTAAACGGTAACTCTTGCATACAGAGGTGTAACGTAATATCTATAAGGCTTTTTAAAATTTGCCGATTTTCTTTAACCCTAGCATTGAAATTTTCAATATCTATTTTACGCGAATTGTCTAGTGCTGTGGCGATATTTTGCTTTTGTTTTCTCATAAGAGTAAGCTTGCAATTCGATGTAATATGTTGAGAACTTTTATTGTGTAACAATAGACTCCGAGACAAATTTTTCAAATCAGTATAACCACTTTTGAACCAAACTTTGTCGCTAGTATTAGCTGTGGCAAATAAAATGCATGGCCAACAAAACAATTTATTTAATGTTATACTACCCGTAAGCCAGTCAAACTTTTCGTACCATGCATTTTGAAATCCCCGATTTGGTTTTCCGACGCCACCGATAGAAACAAGATGTTTACTTAAATCTGGAATAGGTCGTTTTACGACTTTAACTATATATAATTTATCTTCATATGAATGACTTGAAAAATTCTGCTGATTGACTAAAAAATTTACGAGATCACAAGTATTACGAATATTTACATTTACCTGGGAAAGTTGTGACGAAGTGCTCGGTGCTAAATCCATTTTTCACTAAAACCGAAAATCCTGCAGACAAAAACAAACCCACCAAAATTATTAAAAAAACTTAATTAGAATTGCACTTATTATATAACATGTAATCTTACTGTTTTTTTAATGAAAAACAACACGAGATACGTCAAACGTGATCCTGCCGCACAAAGAGGTCAACAGGAAGTAATTTAACTACTACTTACTCTTACTACAACAATTTTGCAGAAATGTTCCAAAATGTACCAATGTTGCCAATCTGGTAAATGCATAGAAAAAAAATATTTTTTGTTAAATCGGAAAACAATAGAACAATATGTATAGTACCATCTACTAAAGGAAAATACTCTACTACAACATAACAATGTTGTTACAATTTTCAAATAAAAATCTATGTTTTATTTAAAATGTACTTTTATACCCCGAGGGAAAAAATGTAGCGAATTGGGTACCTTTGTACCCAAACGGCAACGCTGCTAATTAAAAGAACTACACCAAACCAGAGCGGCATGCCTCTCGTGTTCGGTGAAATCGTGGGCAGAAAATAAATAAATCATGTTGAATTTCGCTAGATAATGTGATGTCTAATATGTCAGACAGAGCAATGCCGTGAGGCTTGCCTCGGCGGCTATAATTTTTAAAGAGAGAATGAGATGCACAGATGATATATTAGCTGCTGGCGCGGAAAATGGAGCCGTTGTTTATTTAATATTTTGTGGTTTAAGCATGTCCCTTGTCCGGCCCGTAGATTATGAAGAAATATACAAAGATAAGACATCAGGGGTGTACATATTTTAATTTTTTATCATAATGAAAATAAAGTTATTTAGAAAATTCCAAAAAGTTAAATTGTAGTTAAAGAACGTAAATAGTCGATTGATACTGGTGAGGCACTGCCTCACCTGCCTCATAGGACCAGCCGCCCCTGGTTATAATTGTACAAAATTTGAGGTACACCTATTTTGGGATACGGAGATTCCATATTTAATATTTGCAATGTTGCCAGATTTGCCGTGTCTCTGATATTATTAGTAACTTTAGTTTTTCAAATGCATCGCCCTGTATATTCAGTCATTATTAGAATCGTCTATTCAATACGAGTTCAACTATATGTAACACTTATGATTTTATGTAGTTTGAAAGGTCTTAAATACATAAAACACAAGTCTGCGCTAATTGTTTCAATATGACAGAATTCAATATGACAAAATGACAGAATTCTGTCTCCGGCTTCTATATAACAGGTAGCTTCTCCTTTTTAAAAAAATTTAAAGTGTTTGTCTTTGTGTATTGTATTGTTATGTCCAAATTTACATGTATGACATTCTGCTCATGTCGGATAGGCCACAACTGACGAAATGCCCCTGAAGATAATCTATTGATCGAAAGTACTTGGGCAAGATTTAATTAATTACTGTGTTCGATAGTTGCCTTGTATACCATCAAAGTTTAATTAAACTTGACTTGTGAGAGTGCTATGTGAACGATCCATATATGCCTATTTTAAGGGTGACATGTGGTCCGTATTTTAAGGGTTATTGTGAAACATATTATTGTTTCTAATATATTTGTTTTGTTTTAATATTTATATCTTTTAGGTCTAACAGTAGCAATTTGGCGGGGAGCTAGAATGTATTATATGTTCGATGGACTGAATAGAGGTAGAAACGGAATAGTAGCTCCATATGGAACAGCATGCGTTACGAGGTTTTTAGATATCGATAAACTTGCCGACGTATTTTTAGCAAATCTACCAAAATATGGAAACAACTGCTTTTTTATACACAACGTGACCATGGAAAAAGATATTTGTCCTAGAGCAAGAGAGCCGAAATTTGTAATACCACCACAAAATACTGTCGCATTGGGAGGATTTCAAGAAGTTGCTGCCGGTAAAACAATTTAAAGACTGCATAATTTTAAGATATTTCAGTTTCTGGCATTGTTCCATCAAAAATTAAAAAGTTGGTGTGATCTTTTGTTGTAACCGAATTTGATGGAGAGTTCGTAATATATTTATTGTTGCAGGTAAATCGATTGTTAGAGGAAGCCTAACTCAAAACGATCAAAAGTTTGAAAAAATTCAAAACGCAATGAGTGCCCCTGTAGCGATTATAGCATTAGCAATGACTCTATTACATAAAACAAACACCTGGTCTAAACCCATTCTTGACGAGGTATTTAAGATGTATAAATTGAGATTTTTAACATATTTTAGTGACTGAAACAAAAACAAATATCTATATTATATACTCCTTAGACAAAATTTAACGTAATATTTTTGCTTCATTTAAAAAACTATTAAGTTTTGTTCATATTAAATGCTTCTGGTTTCATTAATTTTTTTGCTCTTATCTTAAAAAATATCTAATATAATATTATCTTAATTCTGCTGCTTATTCTTTTAGTTGACGTTCTGGGAAATCAATTACACCTAAATAAGTATGTATGTGGCTTAACACTCCATTATGGAGTAACGTTGCTCAAGAAGTTTTCTAGACCTCTATTGTCAGGGTAGACCAATCCTTATGTTCATTTTATTATTTTGTATATTTTTCCATCTAACTATATCTTGTGCTAGTACTTGTCTCCATTTAACAATTCCTGTTATACTTAAATTGTTTTTGATTTAATGTTTCCATCCAACCATCCCACTACATAAGTCGACATTTAATAGATTGTTATTATTATTATCATCATAATTAACTCGACAATCCTTTGTAGATCTTGGCCTGCTCGTAAAGAAGTCACCACTTGCGTCGATTCCTAGCCACTTCCCTTTATCTTCTGACCCTTAGAGGATTAAAGTCTTCCTTCTCATCATCAATCTATCTTCTACGCAGTTCTCCCCTACTTCTTCTGTCCTCTGGGTTTGAGAATGCCCATTTATACCTCTACTATTGTTACACAGTCTCCGATCTACTTTCCTATACAGTATTTCTATGTTAACGCTCTCTCAAACTCTGGGCATTTTTTCTTCTATCGTTTATTTTATTTATTTCATCCCATTATTCTTTATTGTCGAGCTTTAATTCATTAAAAGTTCATCAAGATGTACTTCGTCTATGATTGGATCATCTATTTCGACATTATCTCTCTCTTCTACGTCCAACGTAGGTTGTTCCTGCTGTTCATGCAGTAGTTCTTGAAAGTATTCCTCCCATACTGACTTTTATTGTTTTCATCTTCGATAACTTTATCTTCTCGATTTGCCACTTGTCTTTGGTTTATAGTTGGTACTTTGTTCTTTAATTTTTTGATACATTATGTTTTGAGTTTTAGTTTTTATACTCCTTTTTGGTTTTAATTACTTTTCTTCTATCCAGTATCTCTGACTTAGTCTTAATATATTATTTTTTTACTTTGTTTTCTGAGTTCTTGAAATTAGTTTTTATTTTATTGAGTATTTGTTCTAATTCAGACTAACCTTGCTCTGTTTTTTATTTATTTATTCTCTTTCAATTATCATTACACCATTATTTACTGATCATTATTCAATTTTCATTCTACATTCTTTAATAATTGTAATTTTTTTTTTTATTTTTTGGTTTGGACATTTGGCGTATTATATAAACTCTTATACGTTCTTTTAAGTGTTTAAAATATTCATTAAAGTATTAAAAAAATTTCAGATTATTGAGCTTGGTTCAGAACTTTACGACGAAACTATGGAATTTTTGGGATTAGATTTTAATCCATGGGAAGAAAAACTAGATGTAGCTAGAGTAAACACTCACTTTAATATTGGAGTTATTAAAGCTAGTTGCGTGGTTAGATTAACTGAGATAAGAGGGATTATTGATATAAATGATCCTTGTACGCTTAGCTTGCGAAAAGGTAAGTTTGTTAATACTTATATAATCTTACATTATATTGAGATTATTGAATTTAAGAAAAAAGTGTATTTGGTTTTTTACTAAAAACTAATTCCAATTTTTTCACTGATGTTTTTGAAGAGTTAAGGATTTTACTCCCTAGGTGAAGACGCTAGAACACACCAATTGGACGCTTTCCTTTTTAAATGGATAAATTTGTTTTAAACACGACTCTCGCGAATCTACAAATACAGTCCAACCTAAACTTATTGTTCTGACTAGCTTATATGTTTAGTTGTCTCTCATTAACCCTTAATATCCTAGTGTTACATATAAGTTACGCAATATTATGAAATTTAAACAGCGCGCTGCAAGGAAACTTGTGATAGGATCGTATGGACGGTGTAATTATAGTGAAATTTGACAGTTCCTATAATGCATGTTTACTGGTTTGCAGATATAGTGTGCGGAAATTTTGCGCCTGTATACTTTTAAAATAAGCTGTTAATAGATATTGAAAAAAAAAATTAAAATCAATCTAGAGTAAGTACATTTATTGTTTTATCTTAAATTTTTTTTTAGCTCAAAAAGTAGTTAAACCTTATATGAAGGTACATAACCTAAATCTTTCAAATTTTATTTAAATATTTCGTTACCACTTAGTTCGGTGTAGCGCTATATACCATTTTTCAAAGTAAAACACTTGCACGTCACGATTTATACAAAGTGACGTCACTTGTATTTAAAATTTCCAGAACATCAACCTTATAGTTCAAATTTTCCTAACACAGCTAATAATACGAAACCCATACGGAACTGCTCGATCTTTCATAGGCGTCAACATGGTGTAATAATCAGAAAAATATACTCATCATTATATTGGAAATTTTAGAATTATATTGATTAAATAACCAAAAACGGAAATATATCAACATATAACAGATACGGAAATATATCAAATAATATTGACAGTTCAGCGGATGGTAAAAGTGTATTAAGTGTTGCCGCTTTTTTAGAGTAGAAATTTTGTTTATGTTTTGACGTCTTACACAATTTGATCATAATATAATATATATTAATAAATTGTATTTATAAATGCATTTTAAATTTAGATTAATAGCTTTAAAAACTAATTATTGTTGTGTATTGTGATTGTGATATGCCAAAACAAATAAAAGTCTGTAGAAAGCTGATAAGCTTTCATATAAGATAGATTATTTTGAACAAGAAATAATGGCGGGACGTTTTTGTTATTAAAGCCCTAAAAGAGGTAAGTTTAAAATTTAGAATATATAATTTTGTATTAAAATGGTTTCTTATGTATTTTAATGTGTTGCAGTAGTCTTAAAACTAAGTGTATTTACTGTTAATATAATAGTTTGACAAATAGTTGACATTTTAAAAATTCCTCACTTACTAACTATTCTGATGTTTTGGCAACGCTGTGGGTTCTGAAGACGTAAATCTTGAATGACGTGCAAGCTTTTTTATCTGAAAAATGCTATAGTTCATATCATTATTACATATATGCAACGCTAGGATAAAGTACAACCATATTTTTGCAAAAATAAATGCATTAGTAATGAGACGGGATTTAACTACTAGTGATTAATTCATCGTAATTTATAAATCATATCAGATATCATAATATATCAGGTGTCATATATCAGATATCATATATATAGGTGTCACCAAAGATATTTGGATAACAGCGATTATTAGATAGTATCTGGGGATTTACCAACAGAGAATTTTAGGGAACTGTGAAATGCGAGGTATCTTATATTACATGATATGTAATACATAAACGCATATACGGCAGTGTATTTCTTAGTATATTCGGTTTTTTTCTTTTTAACTGCGGTTTTATCCAAGAAGAAGCACTTGAAATCGCTTACGGTGATGTACAGTTAGATGCCATTTACACAGAACCTCCAGAAGTAAACATTCTCAAAGGCGAATAATATGGAGATGGAAGATGAAAATGGAGATTTTGACCATTTGCCAGGGAGACAACTTCGTGCCAAAGCCGAGGTAAAACTTACAAATAATGAGAGAATTAGCGCCACTGAAGCCAACGCACCTATAGATGCGCCATCAAAATGTACATATTCTTGGTTAAAACGAGGTGATTTTCAAAATCGTTTGGATACTTTTCCGAAACCAATTTTTTCCGAATATAAAAAATTAACACCTGTTGAATTGTTCGAGTTAATTTCAGATGACCCATTCTTCCAATACTTAGATTCAAAAACTAAAAAAAATGCTCTTTTCAAAAATATTCCTGATCCAAATATCTCACTTCAAGAACTGAAAAGCTTTATTAGCATTTTTATTCTGAGTAGATACGATCGAAAATCAGAAAAGCAATATTACTGGTTATTACAAATCTATGGTTAGATACTATGGAAAGCATTCTTGTAAACAATTCATAAGGAAACTGCAAATCAGATTTGGATTTAAAATGTGCTCACTAAACACAAAAGACGGTTATCTAATTCATTTTGATATATATCAAGGAAAGAACACAAAATTCAGCGAAAGAGACGAAAAATTATATGGAAAAGCTACTGCTCTACAGCTAAACATGTTGCGTGAGTTACCCACAAATAAAAGAAATTTATCATATAAACTTTTTGTAGATAACTTGTTTACCAGTGTTTGCCTACTATCGAATATGCGAGGAAATGGTATATGGTGCACCGATACCATTCACGAAAATCGTTTACCTAATGGTATACCTTTAATCTCGAAAACTGATTTTCAAAAACAGGCAGATCAGAGTGATTTTAGAGGCGTTATTGAATTCAACAATGGCATCATGTTTGTACGTTGGTCCGACAATAATATTGTTACAGCTGCGTCTATCTCTTATGGCATCCAACTAATGAAAAGTTTCCTAAACAAGAGAAGAAAATTATTCAAGTGCCCCGTCCTTGTCTCATAGGAAAATATAACTCATCGTTGGGAGGGATGAACTTATGATTATGGATTAAAATAGATGAAGGTACAGGATTGATATTAGATCAAAAAAATGGTGGTGGTCATTATTTACATGGTTACTAGACGCATCATTGGAAAACGCTTGTAACAAAGCACCACAAATCAATTTTCGCAGAGATATAACCATCTATTGAAGTATGGTACAGAAGCTAAAGGTGAAGGTTGACCGAAACCCTCAATATTTCAAGCAGTTTAGGCTGCAACACTGCTTGAAATTGCAACTAGCGACAGCGTCAGATTTGACAGACAAGATCAAATCTTCATATACATTCCGAACAAGAAAAGACGACGGTTGCATTTGAAAACTGCACTTTATATTGTTAGAACCATGTGTAAAAAGTGTGATTTGGGGTTGTGTAGTGATTGCAATGAACAGTTTCATACAAGATAATTCTTTACGCATACGTAAAATATCTTTTATGATTAAATATATCAACTCTTTAGAATAGCTCGAGACAGAGACAGTTTCGCCACGTCAAGGGGACTTGATAGGGCACGTTAAGAAGAAGATTAAATATATAATTTATTAAACCTTTTAGTAGCTTTTTTTTTTATTTTGCTCCCTGTATGTCCTAGAGTTACATATATACAGTGTAGGTAAAAGTTTATGGTCGGTATGGTAAAATTTAACAGGATATCTAACGCAGATATAAAATCATATTTTCAGCGAATAGACAAAGATAACAATCATATTTCCCCTTGGTCTCCCCTCCATAAATATTTTTAACACCCATTGGCCATTAGTGAGACGAATAGTTCCGATCAGAGATATTTTACATATTCTCTGGTTCCGATCCTAATATACCTAAAAAACTAGAGGTGGGTCCTCCCGTTTTTTAAATTTTTATCGGAACCGTTTTTCGTAAACTGTAACTAGTTACTTACATTTACATTACGCATTATTAAATCGCGAATCATCTAAATTGACATTTAAAAACATAAGTTTTTCCACTTTTCTTGTTAACCGTGTTCTTTTTTATTTAAAATTAAACCAGATTTTAAACATGTGTTCACAAGGAAAAGATTTTGTTACAATACTACAATATTTTATGAATATAGTGGTTAAGTTAGGTTATACATGGCGATGGTTTTTCCACCACGGTAATGGACAGTTCCAATCTCCGTTCGAAATTTTTTGTGGGTAATATATCATCAGACAAATACATGTCGACTTCTTTTATATCTCTCGATACAGGTGTATGTTTAGATGAGTCATGTCCAATTAATTCATCAAAAATACACCATGGACTTAAGTTATCTTTATCAGTTTCTTTTTCTTGTACTGGTTGATTTTCAAGATTTACTAAACTTATGCAAAGACTCGTTTCATCCGTTTTCCATAGTTGAAGAACCAGCTTTTAAAAAGTTTGCAGGGTGGATTCCTGGATATAAACCGCCAACAAGAAAAACTGTCAGGTTCATTACTTCAGGAATGTTATGTCAAAACTGAGCAAATTATTAGATCACAAGTTGTTAAAGAAGTAGAAAATATCTGTATTACTACTGACCTCTGGACATCTGGAGTAACTGAGAGTTACTTCCCATTAACAGGACAATATTTAACCGAAAATTTAGTATTTAAAACGGTTTTATTAGGCTGCTGCCATTTTTCTGGAAACCATAATTCAGAAAACAGCGATTAGTGAAATTATTAATCAGTGGGGTCTAAAACGAAAAGTAAATTTTGCAGTAACTGATAATGCCTCAAATATGTTCAAAGCTATTAAAGATGTTTTAGAATGAAAACATTTAAGTTGTTTTGCTCATACGTTAAATTTATTGGTGGAGGACGCACTTAAATGCTGTCGTGTACAAATAGATAAAATAAAAAGTCCTTTTTTTGACAATTCTGCAAAAAACACATTTAAAAAAAGTACCTTATCTTCAGAAAGGCTTTTAAAGTATTAACTACAACATAACAAAGTTCCCAAACGGCCAATCCAAGACGTGGAAACTAGGTAGAACTTCGCCTATTACATGTTAAAAAGAATGACCGAGTTAGAAGAGGCAATCCGTTCCACATCGGTATTAAATAATACAGACTTAGACTTAGACCAAATCTAAATAAAGAACACTGGATTATTTGTTCTCAACTTTCCCAAATTTTACGGCCGTTTAAAGAAATAACAAGTACAATGAGTGACCAAAAATACTTGAAGGGTAGTTCAGTGATTGTTATGGTACGCTGCCTGCAAGAATCTTGCAATAAAATTTTAGCAAACGGTAACCTTACATCCATAGTATCCGACGTAGTACAATTACTAATATCGGGTTTAGCAAAAAGATTTAAAGGGATAGAACAGAGTGGCACATTGTCATTATGTACATTTATGGATTCACCATTTAAAGTGCAGGGTTTTTCTGATAAAAATGAAGCTAAAAAAATAAAAGAAAAAGTTAAGAAGCTGGTTACTTCTATAATTAACGAACAAGAAGATTGTACTATTGAAAATCAACCAGTACAAGAAAAAGAAACCAATAAAGATGACTTAAGTCCATGGTGTATTTTTGATCAATTAATTGGAGATGACTCATCTACACGTACACCTGTATCGAGAGTCCATTACAACGGTGGAAAAACCATCGCCATGTATATCCTAACTTAACCACTATATTCATAAAGTATTGTCAATGTGAACACATGTTCAAAATCTAGTTTAATTTGAAATAAAAAAAGAACACGGTTAATAAGAAGTAAAGTAGAAAAACTTATGTTTTTTAATGTCAATTTAGACTATTCGCGATTTAATAATAACGTGTAATGTAAATGTAAGTACGATTTACTATTTGTATTGTTTATTTTATTTTTCAAGTTATAATAAATATATCATTAGTTTCTTTCACTTAATAATAATATAATACTAATAATAATAAATCATCGCATAAATCATCTTACTAAGAACGAAAAAATGCGCACCTGGATGGGTAAACCTCTGCACGGGCGACATCCAAATGAAGTCAGTCAAGACTATGTCGACAATATAGCGTCGAACTATTGGCTGACATCAGGAAAGATGTTCCCTGAAACAGAAGGTTCATTACTCGCCATTCAGGATCAGGTTATACCAACCAAAAATTACCTGAATTATATCGTCAAAGACCCTCAGGTCCAAAACGACAAATGCCGATATGGATGTCAAGCCCAAGAAACTATCCAACATCTTACCGGAGGCTGCCAGGCATTTGCTTCAACTGAATATAAGGAACGGCATGACTCAGTAGGGAAGATCCTCCATCAAGAGATAGCTTTTAAACTGGGACTTCTACAAACAAACCATCTCCCATATTATCAATACGTTCCTGAGAGTATGCTTGAGGATGACAACTACAAGCTATACTGGGATCGCACTGTGCTCACAGACCAAACTGTAGCACATAATAGACCAGATCTCGTGCTAGTAAATAAACTAACAAGACAAACAACTCTAATCGATGTGGCGATACCTAACAACAATAATCTGCGTGTTAAGTACAACGAAAAGATCGCCAAGTACAGAGATCTGGAAATACAAATAAGAAGACAATGGAGAATGGAAAGTACCCAGACGATACCTATTATTCTTTCTACCACTGGAGTCATTCCGAAGAACCTCCTAGAAAACATAAAAAAGCTGGGTCTAAATGAACATCTATATAAGGTCATGCAGAAAGCTGTGCTACTTTCGACGTCCAGATGCGTGCGAAAATTTTTAGGAGATACACCGACGTACCAAGTCACCTAGGACTCGATAACATGGAAAGAGTCCCACCAGAGCTCAATCCTTTTGATACCGTAGGTATCTGGGATGAGTGAATTTTCCCCTTAGAGGGAGTGTGAGCCGTATGGCTAAATCTGGATAATAATAAATATACACATAAACGATAATAGCCATTATGTTTGTTTATGTAGGTACTCTCTTACTTGAAACTACTTTTAAACAATCATAGTTACTTGTTTACGAAAATTTAAATTTTTAAATGCATTCATTTTTTTTGGAATCCTGAGAAAACTAACAAATATTTTTGAAAAATTTAAATGCAAAATGAAAGATTACATTATTACCGAGGGCCGAAAGTCCCTTAGAATAAACAAAAAGTTTTTTGAATGAGATATTTGAAATTAAAAATCACACTAATTTTTTTTTCACCCCTATAACTTATTAAAATAAACATTATAGAAGTTTTCAGGGACTTTCGGCCCTCGGTAATAATGTATTGTTTCATTCTGCGTTTAAATTTTTCAAAAATATTTATTAGTTTTCTCAGGATTCGAAAAAAATGAATGCATTTAAAAAATATTGGCCCGAAATTTTGTGCCTACGTTCTTAACGATAAAACTACCACGACCCACCTCTACTACTCGTTACTCGTTGTTTTGACCAGACACGTTGCCAAATAATTATTGTGTATGAATATTTTTTTAATGTGGCGTTATTGTATGCAGTTTATTATTTCATATTGGGAATAAGGCACAATGTGACTTTAAAATAAGCTTATTTTGATGTTTAGATTTTTAATTCGGAAATCGTACTTAAAATACGAAACATTAATAAATTTTATTTATATAAAACGATTACCGTGGAAATCAAAATGTTATATTACACTTATTGTAAAGTAAACTTGTGGCATATTCCCAATAAAAAAACAGTAAGCTGCCATTTAAATCAATTTCGCCCAAATTTGATTATCTTAGAACATTGTTCAAATGCAAAAAAGACAACAGGTCAAATAAAACCAATAAGTTTGGCAACGTTGAACTTCCCCTTTTTTATTATTTCCACGCTTGCATGTTCGGCGATATAAAGGGCGGACCTAATATACCTCTCTCTTTCTAAACAGCTGTTTCTCACTCCATCTCACGTAAGGTCCTATAGCAGCTAATGACTTTTTAGCTAATTTTTGTTTTGTAAATAAGCTCAGAAACTCAACTACAGTACTCATAACAATGATTTACCATAAAATATATAATTTTACAAAAATATAATAATTCATTTCGTAGCCCAAATAGACATATCTTTCTATAGCTTCGATAGTCGATCTTTCAATTTATATTAGGTCATTGAGATTCGTCATCATTTTTGTTTTCCAATAGTTTATCTTTAAATCGAGTCTCTGATACCTAAGAGACTTTCTTTTTATGTAGTTACATAAAATATCAAATTGCCAAAAAACTGGAGCTTTCAGAAAAATTTTGATTTCAGATTGGGATTCAGTGACAGAAAAAATATTTGATTTTGTTCCCCAATGTAATTATTTAAGAGAACAATTGAAGTTTCTCTGGTTTGGTATAACATTTCTGAGAGCCCACAAAGGAAAATCTTGTTTTTAAATATTACTTGAAGTATTTTGTCTGCCTAATTTAAAGTTTTAATACGTTAATTCTAGGCTTAGAAAAATTCTTTAAAAAAAATTCTCACGGAATATTGGTTTCGGAGCCATATACGGTAGCCATATGGGAAGAATATAATGAAGATAATAGACAAATCATTTACATGTTTGATCCAAACTCCAGAGACGCTGCAGGCAAGCCGGCTATTGGAGGCACAGCATGTCTGGTAGGTGTTTGTTAATATGTATAATTGTATACAAAACCGGATAAATTGTGTAGAATATATACTACCTGGATTAATCTTATATTAAATTCAATTAAAGTTTTGGTTTTCACACATCGTCGTCCCAATCTGACAACTACACAAATCCATTTTCCTTAAAAACCGGATTTTAATGCCATCTTGTAGAAAAAATGTCAATCTATGTATTCCAAACTAAATAATGCTTATAAACGTTTTCAGATGTCGCCAAAAACAAAACAGTAGTATGTAATGCGCACAAGTCCCTTTATCATCTGAGCAATATGAAAACCGCATAAGTCCATATTCGTCGTTTAAAAAGCTATGCTTCATTAGTGTGTTATGTTTTTTTATCAATCAAAACTTAGTTTATTGTTCATTTTGTTAAAATATGCTTAAACAATATTAAGGTAAGTTTACTTCATCCGAGGGGAACATTAAATTTTGTGTTGGGATAATTAATTTGATGAATTAGTTCTTTTTACAAAATATGTATTGCAATGTTCACACTTCCGCAAAAAATAATTAATTATAGCTTTTTGTGTTCGTAGGAATTAAAAAACTCTTATTTTTTCGTTTAGTAATGAAATTGTATTCTAAATTCTTTTACAATAATCTATTAAAGATTATCCTCCAAATTTACACTTATTCTGGTCATTCCCCTCCTTTTATTTCCCTGTCGGATTCCATTGTAATGTTTGTAAGATTGCTGGTTGATTATATTCCTCTTTAGATCCAGATTTCTCTTTCTATTTTTTATAGTACATTTTCTTGTCTTTAGGGAGCTTTATGTTCTTCTTTTTTTTATTTTCCCCACCTTTTAGTTTTTTTTTCTTATTGTAACCTATACCTAAGGAATTTTGAGTTAGATCATATTTTATGTAACGTGTGATCTTTTTTGGTAATGATTTTTTTACCCTCTATATAATTATTTCTTATTTAGTAATTATTGGTCTTCCTTCTCCGTAAATTCAAGCAGAAATCTTGGTCTATCAAAGATGATGAAGGTAATGTACAGACGGATTTGGACAAGGTTATTGATGTTTGGAGGGCGTATTGTAAGTCTTTATACGCCAATACGGACCAGATGCCAGCGGACGCCCCGTTTGTACCTGACTGCCAGACCTCCACTTTCCATTCTCCTTCAACAGAGACACACCACACTAGTTTTGAGTCTGAACCTGACATACTTTTTTCCGAGGTGGAATTCGCTTTAAAAAGACTTAAGTTAAACAAAGCAGCAGGATATGATCTCATTACTGCAGACGTCTTGAAGCATCTTCCGGAATGTGGAGTGAAAATATTACATCGATTGTGCAATGAAATATGGCACACAGGCGTCTGGCCTGAGGATTGGAGAAAGACCATAATCATACCTCTTCATAAGAAAGGTTCAACAAATAATTGTAACAACTACAGGCTATTAGCTCTAATATCACACGCCAGTAAGGTGATCCTCTACATACTGCAACGGCGTCTAGAAAACTTCATAAGTTGGCAAATAGCACCTGAGCAGGCTGGATTTGTAAAGGGCAGAGGTACTAGAGAACAAATCCTTAATGTACGAAACATCATAGAAAAAGCCAGAGAATACCAGATCCCGATATTTATATGTTTCGTCGATTATACAAAGGCCTTTGATAATGTTAGATGGGACAAACTATGGAACATATTGACGACAATGGGTGTACCTAAACACTTGACTCACCTTATTAGCAAACTGTATCAAGATAACCTGGCATATATTCGAATGGACGGATATCTGTCTGACAAATGCACTTTGGAGAAGGGAGTACGCCAAGGATGCGTTTTATCTCCCTTATTATTTAACATCTATTCGGAGTTCATAATGCGCAGAGTTTTGGATGGTTGGGAGGGAGGAGTAAACCTAGGTGGTGTTAAGATATCTAACTTGCGTTTCGCAGACGACACTACACTTCTAGCCTCTACTCCAGAAGAAATTATTAAATTATTAAAAAAACTCGAGGTAGAAAGTGCTAAATTTGGACTCATGGTTAACTACAACAAAACCAAAATCATGGTTATTGATCGCCAACAACAGTTTCCTGAAACCCAAACTATTGCGGGATGCGAGGTAGTCTCATCTATGATATATCTTGGAGCTCTAGTTAACAACACAGGCAGTTGTGAATCCGAAATTAGAAGACGCATTCAACTAGCAAGAGCAGCAATGAGTGAACTAAACGGGGTCTGGCGTGATCGTCACATTACTATGACAAACAAAAAGAGACTCGTTTCAACTCTGGTCTTTTCCATATTTTACTATGCATGCGAGACATGGACAGTCAAAGAATCAGATCGACGACGTATAGACGCCTTTGAAATGTGGACATGGAGACGCCTGCTTCGAATTCCATGGACGGCTCGCCGTACAAATATCTCGGTTCTGGATGAAATTAAACCGGATCAGCGTCTCTCCAGTACCGTTTACTCTAGAATTTTAAAGTTCTTTGGCCATATCCATCGAAGTGATCACAAAATGGAGCGGTTGGTGGTCCAAGGAAGGCCTCAGACTCAACGCCAACGCGGAAGATCTCCACAGCGATGGGCGGACATTACTAAAAAGCTTCTAAATAAACAGTATACTGAGGCAATACATATAACTGATGACCGCGACCAGTGGAGAAATATTATCAATCAAACTGTCCGAGCTGCTGAAGCCCAATTATGAACCACAACACATCTACTAAGATGTTAATGACTGTGATGATGATGATGATGGTCTTCCTTGCTTAACGCTGTAGAATTAAAATATTTAATTTTTCTGTCATAAGTTTTTAGTGTTATGGAGAAACCTTTAAAGAATCCGTAAAATAGTTTCGAAACACAATTCAGAGAACGCTATGAATAACTGTTCTGATGAGACCTATTAGGTCCAAATACGTATCAGCAGATACATAGACGGTTTGTAAGTGAAATCAAATCTTTACTGTCTTTTTTACTTTAAAGAATCGTTTATATAGATGTATCATTTTTTTATTCGTTATTAATTTTTTTACATAATTTAATTTATTCCTGCCACCACAAATTGTATAATTAAATGAAAAATTGAAACATGCGTGTGATTTCTTTGACAATTAATTAAATATTGAAGTGTTTCGAAATAAATTTTACATTTATATTTTAGAGTTTAGAAGTTTATTATTTTAGAAAATGAATTTTTAACTCTTTTGAAAGTTTGTTGATCCTAAAAAATTGGCTGCGAATTTGGTGATCGGTAAAAAAATAATACAAAACTCGAGCTTTCCCAACAAATGAATTACCAAATTAGAATTAAGCTGATTTTTGTACGAAGATCGATTTTATAAGACTTAACGCAAAAGTTCAGCAATTCTCCAAAAGTGACTTATTTGTTATGAAAGTTGTACAACAGACTAAAATATCATTTTGCTTACGCCCTAATCTTAAATAGAAAGAAATCAGAAAATATTTAGTGGAGTGACTGTCGACGACGGGAATTAATTATATCCCCAGTTGCATGGTGATTGACAAAATTATTAGTGATATATATTAGTGATATATAGTTTGAGGTAAAAATATTGTGTTGTCTGTTTAAAGTGCAAGGTAGTGAAATGTCAAATGTTTGATATATACATTTAACAGCATTGTGCGTGTTCAATCAGATCATAAAGTGAATTATATTGAATTTTTAATTATATTTTTTTAAATATTGCCGAGGTATATTGAAAATGAACAAATATCTGTTGTTTAACTATTTTTGTCATGGACGTATAAACACAGATGGACTCAGTTATTTACATAAAATTGTGTAGTCAAAATTATTTGAATAGGTCACATTCTCAGCACCTTCAACTGTTGTCACCTTTTGTTTTAAAATTTCTTATTCGCCAAAAATATTACTCCGTATTTTATACTCTACAGGTGCTATCAAACGAAAATAATAATTTATTGGTTAGAATAATATATTTAATTGTAATCAAAATATCAAGTGTGCACATAGTGTGCATTATCATTTAATAATAGCGTATAATAGATATCAATCAATTATTTTATATGTATGTAGAAGCACTGAAAACTATTTATAAATGGCAACCAGTGTTTACATTTCTCTGTCTTATGGATCTACGTCAAACTTCAAATGCTGTTCCATGTTTGTTTACTTTTTACAGTAGACGAGGAAAAGTTGTTTTTCGATATTGTGGCTGTATTTTGAGTGATATTTGTGATATCTGTTGTATATATCTGTTCTTTCCGCGTGCTTTAACAAAACTATGCTTTCACCATCGGTCACTCAAGGAATGTCTATTTTTTTTTGTCTTTCTTTAGTCTTTGCTTCTTTTTTATTTCTAACCATTATTTCTGTACTTTTAGATCAGTTTCTTTAATTCTGATATGGTAAATGAGCACATATTAAAGAATATTCTGGAACCTGAACAAACTACGTGTACTTTCGAAATTATACCAGTAGAGATAATTGTCGGAACCATGAGAATTCCACGTAAAACGGAACATATAAGGAGTGAATATTTGCCAATTACCTCCACAAGATGTACTGAAGTGGCGGAAGATAAAAAGCTTCTACGAAAATATGTAAGTTTTTATTATTTATTTGTCAAAGTATTTACCATAAGAATAAGATAATGCCAAGGGACATCATACAATGTAATTTTTCTCAACACTGATCGTACCAATTCTCCCTCTATCACTAAATTTTATTATACAAAATTGACCAAACGTCTGAAATTATCTCTTAAATGGATAGTCCCAATTATACAAAAAAAACAAGAATATACCTATATTTTGATTCAAACTACCTATATACAACTAAATTTGAACATAATTAAAAGTTTACTACATTGCTAAATTAATGTCTACGTAATCACGTGTTCAAAATGTCCTTCTTTGTTAATTTAAAAATATCCTTAACAATGGTAGAATACGTCTATTACATTTCTACATGTTTCTGTAGAAATTAATATGGATTCATCGATAATTCTTTGTCTTAGCTCTGGAAAACTTACTGGTTTAGTTTAATAAATTATATTTTTCAAGCATTCTAATACAAATAATCTTAGGGATTCAAATAGGGTGAACAAGTACGCCATTATACACTACCAAATCTACCAATCCATGTCTGATCTAAATAATGCCGAACTTTTGCACATTGTACACAACCTTGACTTACTCCTCTTTTAACGTTGAACTTCTATAGATTCTCTGATCTCGCGGATATAGGAAAATAAACGTCCGTACTTATAAGGTTATATTTTTGCTTTCGATAGAGCCTTTACTTTACTTTATCGTGTCCGGACATGTCATTCATAAAATTTCGGCCCAGTATCGGGCTACGTCGGTTCCATCTTTGTTGGCGAGCCACAAATCTTCAAGGGTGCATCGATGAGGACAGTTTCTGCATGTAAGAAGATGTTCCATATTCTGTGTTTCTCCACAGTCACAGTTCACATCATCTTGGTTTATTTTTCCCCATTTTGCCATGTTTGATTTTACTGTAGCAACCCCGTTCTTATCCTATTCAAGGTTTTCCACGTTTTAAAGTCTAGGGTCTGGCCGGTCCATTGAACCTGGGGAAGTGGAAAATACTCAGGCGGTTCATCCTTCACTGTTCCAAGGAAGCTTTTCCTAGATTTTAGTCGCTTTCGTGGTGTTCGAGCTTTGTATAGGGCATGCCGATCGTCCGCGATCTGTTTAATTTTCTCTATGTGTTCTGCAGCGCCTCTGCGTGTTGAGGGTTCTGCAAAACCCGCTGCTCTATATAGATTTGAAAGTGGCGTTGGTTTCATGCACCCCGTTACTATCCTGCATGTCTCATTTAGCGCAGTATCAACTTGTTTGGTGTGGGCAGATCTGCTCCAAACGGGGCATGCATATTCAGCAGTTGAGAAACACAGTGCCTGTGCCGTTGTTCTTAAAACGCCAGGACGTGCGCCCCATTTACTTCCCGTTAGCTTTCTGAGTATGCTGTTCCTAGTTGTTACTTTCCCTCTTGTTTTTATGCAATGTTGTCTGTAGGTGAGGGACCGGTCCAGAGTTACTCCAAGATATATAGGTTGGTTTGTGTGTTCTAATGTATTACCATTCCACACAATTTGGAGTTTTCGCTTGGCTTCCTTTGTGCGAAGGTGGAAAGCGCAGACTTGGGTTTTAGAGGGATTGGGTCTCAGAGAATTCTGCAGGTAGTACGCTGTCATTGTTTTTAAGGCAGTTTCGAGTTTCTCCTCCACTTCTTCAAAACTATTTCCTTGAGCACATATTGCAAGATCGTCAGCATAGAGGAAGTGCTTGGTTTCGGTCGGAGTAGGTTGGTCGTTTGTGTATATATTGAAGAGCATTGGTGCTAAAACACTTCCCTGTGGGAGGCCGTTTTTTTGAACTCTCCACCTACTTACTTTACCCTCCAGCATAACGAAAAAAACGTCTATTTTGCAGTAAGGAATATACGACCTTTCCCAGATGGTGGTCATTGAGAGTATCGTATAATTTGCGGAGCAATGTTTTGTGCCTTACTGTGTCATAGGCTGCTGTCAGATCTACAAAAGCAGCCCCTGTTATAAGTTTTTCTTCAAAGCCCTCTTCAATGTGTGCTGTTAATGCGAGGACTTGACCGGTGCAAGATTTGCCAGGTCTGAATCCTCCTTGTTGTGGGATGAGGTGCTTGTCGACATTTTTTTCTATTCTGGCGAGTATGAGTCTCTCGTATAGTTTAAAAAAGTGACACAATAGCGAAATAGGTCTGTAGCTACTGGGGTCTTCTGGATCCTTTCCTGGTTTTAACAAGGCTATTACTTTAGATTTCCTCCATGATTTTGGAATTTTGCAGGTTTTGCAGCACGTGTTATAAAATTGCAAGATCCAGTTTTTTGCTCCTTGGCCTAAATGCTTTATTTGTTCACTGCATATATCATCCACACCTGCAGCTTTCCCGTTTTTTAACCTGTTCAGACCGTCGTGGAGTTCTTTTAGTGTAAAAGGAGTTCCTAGGTGGTTTGTCTCCGAATCCAATCTTCTCCTAGTGTTTGGGTCCTTATATCGGTTAGTAGTTCTTCCATTCGTAAGGAGTTGAGTAGCGACTTGGTTTGCTGTAACCTTGCAAGGTGGTTTATGTTCTTTTGGATCACCGCTGAGTTTTTTTACAAGGTTCCATGCTATTTTGCTACTATGTGTCATGTCCATTTTTTCCAGGGTCTCAATCCACTTTTCCTGTCTGGCTTGACTTAGCTGTTGGAGTAGTACTGCTCCGCAGTCAACCGTTTCTTGGCTAAAAGGGTCAGTGGAATAGAGGGTTTCGTATGTTCTCATTAGTTCTTTGGACTCGCTGGACATCCCGGGAAACGTATTGTTGTCTACATCCTCTAGGGATAGTTTTTCTAGACACATTTTTGAGTACCTCTACGAATTTTTCGTAGTTCTCTACTTTTGGTTCAAGGCGTAGTAGTTCAAAATCTAGCATGTCTGCATACTTTTGCCAGTTTGCCTTTTTGAAGTTAAATCTTCTTCTGAATGGAATAGCTTGTGGTCTGACAATTGGGAAGATATTTATACCAATTGGTCTATGCTGAGTTTTTGGTATGGGGCCATATACTACTTTGGTACATCGGTCTTCGAGGTTGTTGCTTGAAAAACAGATATCCGGGTTATATCCTCTTTTCCAAACTTTGCTATGAAAAGATGGTGGAAGTTTAGGATCATGGATTAACGTGAGGCCACTCGTTTCGGCCCATGCTTCTACTGCGTCTTCATTTGCGTTCGAATCTGCATAGCCCCAGAGTAAACTGTGACTGTTAAAGTCTCCCAGTACAAGCTGATTGGCTTGTGATTGAAAATTAGTTGGGGGTGAAAATATAAAAGGCTGGTTTGGGGGCTTGTTATACCGAGGATATTGTGCATTTTCCGATCTCAGTGGTTATTATCTCTATACCGTGTACATTTGTTGTTTTCGATAGAGCCTTTTATTTGTATTAATTGGCTGTATGTCTAATACTGACCTACTTGTGCTTATTAATATATATCTACACATAAAAATCTTTTATTTTTAAGGCTGAACATGAGAGACGCAAAAGGGAAGCAAAGTGCCGTCAGCAACTTGGACGTAAAGATTACTATATAACGAAAACTGGAGATGCGCTTCTTAGAGGATACAGAAGCCAAAACTCCCAATGTTTCAACGATGCCTGCAGAAATAATCAAGACATACCCAACTGCATAGTAGCTCTAGTCATGAACCATCTGGTATCCGTAGAACGTTGGACTTTCAAGAATATTGACCTTATTTTAGTAACAGGCAATCAGTTATACGTTGACTCGTATATAGCGTATGGACCAAAAGATCTTAAACTCGGAATGGAAAATATAGTGAGGAAGTTCTACTTGCAACATTTGACAATACATGTTACCATTTATAAACCAATTCTAAGCAATGTTTTTACAGAAGAATGTTTAAGTAAAACACTTTCAGTATTTTTTACTCAAGAACAGCATTGTATATTAAACCACCAGAACCAATGGGTTGCTCTATTCTTTAAATCAGGTAAATATATTTTATAGCCATACCTTCAGGAAAGTAATCAAAATAAAATGGGGTTCAGGTCGTCCTGAAGTAGCCATAGGTATTTGACGAGTTTTTCTATTAATATATACATGTTTGGAAAAATATTCGAGACTTGCCTAAATATCTTATTTTTGCTATTCAAAAATAGAAATTTATATATTATATATATATATATATATATATATATATATATATATATAATATATATATATATATATATATAATATATATATATATATATAATATATATATATATAATATATATATATATATATAATATATATATATATATATATACAGGGTGGGCCGCCGGTAACGCCTCGGTCTGTACAGCCGAAACAAATTTTATTTTCAAAAATTCATTTTCATTACGAGACCTATATCCAATTATATATATATATATATATATATATATATATATATATATATATATATAATATATATATATATATATATATATATATATTATATATATATTATCATATATATATATATATATATATATATATATATATATTATCATATATATATATATATATATATATATATATATATATATATGACATTTGTCAAAAAGACGTGTGAAATGTCTCTCCAAAATAAATATTGTAAAAAGTGTAAAAAAACTGTAGTAAATGGAGTACAGTGCATAAATTGTGACGCTAGCATCCATGTGAGTTGTGCTCGAAAGAGTAACAATGTTAAGTTTATAAATGACGAGTTGATTGAATGTTGTTTACCAGTGAAACCTGAAGATCAAATATTTTTGGAAGCAATGGATAACTTAATAACAGATGATAAGGTAATTGATATTAACATATTTAAATATATAATTAGACAAAAAGATACCCTAATTAAAGAGCTATACGGAAAAATTGACCTTATGAGTCAACATATTGATTTACTAAAACAATTAAATTCGCAAAAAAATGTTGTCGAAAATCAAGAACAACTTATACATCAAAATAAGGTAATAAACAAAGACACACTTATGGATTCAGTCGAAACAAAATCAGTTCGTCAACCCATCAACGCGAACAAAGATCGCACTGTTGCCAGTTCTTCCCAGAAATGTGAAGTTACAAAGAAAGATGTTTCAGAAGCGATATTACAAGTAACTACAGAACAAAAGTTAAATGAGTACATATACATAGGTGAAAGTAACCAGGAAAAATCTGAATGGACAGAAGTAGATAGAAGAAAAAAAAGAAAGCATTTAGTTGTGGGAAAAAACACTGAAATGATATTAAATGGAAAAGAAATCAAGGGAGTACATAAGTTGATAGACCTACATGTATACAGGATCGATCCCGATATGACTGCGGAAAATATGAGGGAACTTATGAAGACTACATTTCCCGAAGTAGAGGTAGAATCCCTAAAATCAAAGCATCCTGATATTTACAGTTCATTTAAAGTTACAATTTTTAATAACAATTTTAAAGAAGCTATGTCTCCTAAAATATGGCCATGTGGAGCTCACGTACAACGTTTTTTTCACGTAACACCCAGAAAGCCGCAAGAGATGTAGATAAAAGTGTACGAATAGAATCAGCGGTAGTGCAAAAGAATATAGGAAACACCTGTTTTTGTGAAAGTGATATGATAAGTTCTGATAAACAAAAGTTGGTAGTAAATCCTGACCAAACCAGTTTGGTAAGCATTTTTCATATAAATACACAAAGTTTATTAAATAAAATTGATCAACTTAACATTTTTTTAAAAGATAAAACTTACAATATTTTGTGCTTTTCTGAACATTGGCTTAGAGAATCTGAATTAACAACAGTGATAATTGACAGATACTTTTTATCAACTAGTTACTGTAGAAAAAGTAGAGAACATGGGGGTGTTGCTATTTTCTGCGATGGCAAAATATCTACACGTCCAGTTTCTTTGAATGATATATCTTGTGAATATGAAGGTGAATTTTGTGCTTTGGAAATTATAGATATAAAAACTATTCTAGTATCAGTGTATAGAACAGGTAACGCAGATTTCCAAATTTTCTTAGGCCTATTTGAAAAATTATTAATATTCTGTTCTAATAATTATGTTCAAACAATTATAATTGGGGATTTCAATATTGATTTCAAAGGCACTTCAAATGAATTAAAATATTTTTCCGATCTAATTTCTTCTTTTGGTTTAACTATGAAGATTGATGAATTTACAAGAATCACTGCTACATCAGCAAGTTGTTTAGATAATATTTTAACAAATATAGATAATGAAATAGTTGGGTGTGGTGTTGTAGACCCATGCCTTGCTGATCATTGTGCTCAATTCCTGAATTTTAAAATAAAATCTGATCAAATTGACAATGATAGGATATTCAGAAGACACATAACATGTAAAGGCACCCAAATGTTAAAACAATTACTAAAATCTGTGGATTGGTCGTTAATAAACAATTCAATAACAGCAACGGAATTAGCTGAGTTCATAATTGACACATATGCAAAATTAACTGAGGTTTGCTTTCCAGTAAAAAAGTCAAGAATTCATTTTGAGGCACCTGTTTCTTGGTTTGACGATGAACTAAGGAAAATGCGAGTAAACCTTTCGAAGATAAAAATTACTGCTAACCTTACTAGTGATTACACTCTGTATAATCAATTCAAAAAACACTATCAATTAACAATATCAGTAAAGAAAAAACTGGCATATGAGCAGTTTTTCTTAAAATCTGATAATATATCTCGAGATTCTTGGAAAGTCATCAATTATCATAGGAATAAAACTCAAAATAAAAAAGTAACTTCATGTAATATTTCATCAAACGAGTTTAATAATTACTTTACTTCGGTAGCGGGAAATATATTGAACTCGTTAGATGAGACAGATGAAAATGATGCCATGAATTTTTTGGAGGGAATATACTCCCCTTGCCACTCGTTGTTTTTAACACCTGTTAGTGATACTGAAGTTAGGAATACATTATACAGCTTGAAAAACTCAAAATGCACTGATTTTTACTTCTTAAACAAACAATTAGTGATAGAAACTCTGGATATTATTATTGATAAACTGGTCATACTCTATAATCTTTGCCTTATCGAAGGAATCTTTCCCGATGTATTAAAAGTAACAAAAGTGTTACCGCTACTCAAAAAAGGATCTTCAGAAGAAATTGAAAATTATCGCCCTATTTCTATTATTCCCATTCTTGGTAAAATTTTTGAAAGTATTTTGAATAACCGTTTAATAGAGTACATAGAAAAGTACAAAATACTTCATTGTAATCAATATGGTTTCAGAAAAAAATGCAGCACTACTCAAGCAATTCAGGAAATTGTAAGGGAAGTAGTTGATGGCCTAGAGAGAGGTCACTTCGTGTCCTTAACATTGTGTGACTTATCTAAGGCTTTTGATTGTGTCTCACACACTTTACTTTTAAACAAAATGCACAAATATGGCATAAGGGGAAATGCTCTTAATTTATTTCGATCGTATTTAATAAACAGAAAACAGGCCGTTTTTTTAAATAATAACTACTCCAATTTTCACAATGTTGAACATGGAGTTCCCCAAGGGTCTATATTAGGACCTACATTTTTTCTTCTATATCTCAACGATATATTTCATTATACCCACCCCTTAAGGTGTATATGTTTTGCAGATGATACAACCGTTATTAGTACCGACCAGAATCAATATAATTTAAATAACAAAATAGGAAACGATGTGCTTAAAATTAAAAACTGGTTTACACATAATAAACTAAAACTAAACGAGGATAAAAATCAAAATATAGTTTTCAGTTCAGATCGAAGACACATTTTTGGATATAGCATCAAATTGTTAGGGATTTTTATGGATGACAACTTAGATTGGGGCATCCATATAGACAACTTAAGTTCTAAACTCGCCAGTACAATATTTGTAATGCGTAACCTGGTTTATTTGGTACCTAAAAGTACCCTTAAAATGTGTTACTTTTCATTGTTTCATAGTCATATACAATATGGAATAGCTGTTTGGGGCAACTCTGGTCATGCCGACAGAATATTTAAATTACAAAAGAAGGTGGTGAGGATACTTGCTGGAGCGGATTTAAGGGATCATTGTAAACCATTATTTTTGAACATGGGTATTATGCCTCTACCTTCGCTTTATATGTATGCAACACTGTTGGAAATTCACGATAATAAAAATAAGTTTACTATAAACTCCCAATTACATGATCATCTAACAAGATCGAGGGATTTAATTAGGTCACAACGATTCAGACTATCAAAGAGCACAAAGAATTCAATTGATATTCACTTGTATAACTATCTGCCTAACGAAATAAAAATTCTGTCTCCACCACTGTTTAAAAATAGGATCAGAAAGCATTTTTTAACATATTGTTTTTACTCAAAGACAGAATACCTCAATACACCTTTATAACGTATACCCAGTTTGGTCAGAATACTGTCGATTTACTATCTACATATCACATTGTATTATTGCTATTAAAATGTACTAAGTTTTATGTATTAGTTTATTTAGTCATCGATTCGGGAATATTCTTAATTATTTGTACATTTTTGTTACTTCCATATTTCAAAGATTTTTTATGTGACAGTTTAGGTTTGTTTAATTTTAATTCTTCTGCTAATACTTACATATGTATATTACTTTAGCCAATATGGTTAAGTTAATTTTAAGTTTACATTATTATATCTTTTATTGTATTTTTTATACGGACTTCAAACTTTATGTAAAGTGGTCAATAAACGTTCTATCTATATATTATATATATATATATATATATAATATATATATATATATATATATATATATATATATATATTATTTGTAGTCTCAGCAATTGGTCTGTGTGAAATAAAACTCTATTTGTTATTTCTCAATATTTCGTCACGATTTTGTGACTTCTTCAGGAGAAAACTGTAAATTTATTTTAATTATTATATGTAAACAAAATGAATATTTCAATACTTACAACTTAAGATTAAAAATTTTAAATTTTAATAACATATCCAATTAGATAAATGACATTTTTTTTGATTTAATTTATTTGGGAGTTATGGTAACCGCAATATTTTATAGAGTGAATTCCCATTGTACAATTTTTAGCGAATAAGTTTTAATAAACAATTACATATTGTGACAGTATTATCCATATAATAAGGTGCAAAAGTAGAATATTGAGAAAGAATCAGGAACATGTTAAATTGATCTATAAAATGTAATTGATGGTACGTAGTCAGTTATTGGTCTGATGTTGTTAGATACTGATATGAAGATCTATCATATTATATATTGTTTAGTATATTACAGTAGATATTACTTAAATGGTTGGTGTCTGTCTTATAATTGATAGATTCTGGAGTTTTATTAATGTGTACCATTTCAAGGAAAAGTCGATTTTTATAATTATCAATTTGTTCTAATATTTTTACATTATTAAAGTCAAAGTTATGTCCTGTCTTTAAGTGGTGGTCTACTAAGGCACAAGAGTTTTTTCGTAAGTTACAGTCACTTTTGTGTTGAGTGACACGTTGTTTAAGCCACTGTTGACTTTGTCCAATATAACAACTTTGACATTGACTGCAATTTATTCTATAAATTATATTACTCATTAGTGAATTTGGAGTTTTAACTTTTATTTTTGAGAACAACCTTGAATTTAGAAGTGGATTGTATTTAATTAATTTAATGTTCGGAAATGTTTTGAAAAGTGGGACAATTTGGTCTGTTAAATTTTTTATGTAAGGTATTTTTTTGTATAAAACTGGTTGTGGATTATTTATTAAAGCTCTATTGTGAAAGTGAGTGTTATAAATAAGTTTTTTTAATATATGTTTTGGGTAGCCATGAGTAATATAATTTATAGAATAAATTGCAGTCAATGTCAAAGTTGTTATATTGGACAAAGTCAACAGTGGCTTAAACAACGTGTCACTCAACACAAAAGTGACTGTAACTTACGAAAAAACTCTTGTGCCTTAGTAGACCACCACTTAAAGACAGGACATAACTTTGACTTTAATAATGTAAAAATATTAGAACAAATTGATAATTATAAAAATCGACTTTTCCTTGAAATGGTACACATTAATAAAACTCCAGAATCTATCAATTATAAGACAGACACCAACCATTTAAGTAATATCTACTGTAATATACTAAACAATATATAATATGATAGATCTTCATATCAGTATCTAACAACATCAGACCAATAACTGACTACGTACCATCAATTACATTTTATAGATCAATTTACCATGTTCCTGATTCTTTCTCAATATTCTACTTTTGCACCTTATTATATGGATAATACTGTCACAATATGTAATTGTTTATTAAAACTTATTCGCTAAAAATTGTACAATGGGAATTCACTCTATAAAATATTGCGGTTACCATAACTCCCAAATAAATTAAATCAAAAAAAATGTCATTTATCTAATTGGATATGTTATTAAAATTTAAAATTTTTAATCTTAAGTTGTAAGTATTGAAATATTCATTTTGTTTACATATAATAATTAAAATAAATTTACAGTTTTCTCCTGAAGAAGTCACAAAATCGTGACGAAATATTGAGAAATAACAAATAGAGTTTTATTTCACACAGACCAATTGCTGAGACTACAAATAATATTTAACACAGTACGGTCGAGAATAATTTGATAAATATATATATATATATATATATATATATATATATATATATATATATATATATATATATATATATATATATATATATATCGGAAAAAGGAGTACGACCGTCAAATTCCAATATATAAAAGGATCACTCAACAGAGTGGTGGGCTCTTATATCGGTCAATTTGTAGGTGGAGAAATGAAAGACAAAGTTGATGTGCCACTCTATCTATTTTGAAAACGTTTCGCTTTCGTATTCTGAAAGCATCATCAGTTCATTCTAAAAAGTGTATGAAGCTTAGACTGTTGGAAATTATCTAATTGTTATTCACCTGTTGGCAAAAATTTTTCAGCCACAATGTTTAACATAAATTTAAATATAAGAGTTTGAATGAAATTCTCCTGTTTGTTTGTTTTTAGACGGGCTAATGCGAGTGATTGTTATTACTATATCAGTCTCTTTCATTGGATTGTCTCTTACAAGCGGGCTGTCATCCAAAGCTCATTAACTTTTAAATAAACCGCTCAATTATTTGAGGTGGTACCTCTGACCTTGCTGTTCTGTTGAAATAATTTCAACCTCAAGGTTGGCTGTCTTTTCGTAGATCTGTGTCAGTCTGTTCAATCTAACGCCATTTTCCTGGTAGCAGGTGTAAGGCTTAGACCGGTAACTTCATTCTTTTACACTTATTTTTATTTTTAAATTATATTAACATCTTTTAATAATGCTACCAAAAGTTAAAATTAAAGTTTAATAATTATCTATTGTTGGAAGTTAATCGTTGATTTTCTTAGTTCTTTGCATCAACTACGTTATAATTTAATATATATTTTTTATACTTCTGACCACATGGTCACTCACTGTGCTAATTTTTTAATAAGTCACTAAATGTTGTTAGTAAATTAAATGTTTATACATTTCTACTTTATATTGTCCATTTATTCAAGTTTAATTCATAAGCTTGTTAACATCTTTGACTGCTACATGTCTTTTTAAGGTAACACCTGTAACATCTTTTCCATGATTGTGTGGTTCTTATATTATACTTTTTAGAATGAACTGATGATGCTTTCAGAATACGAAAGCGAAACGTTTTCAAAATAGATAGAGTGGCACATCAACTTTGTCTTTCATTTCTCCACCTACAAATTGACCGATATAAGAGCCCACCACTCTGTTGAGTGATCCTTTTATATATATATATATATATATATATATATATATATATATATATATATATAATATACAGTGTGAGTGGGGAGGAACGCACCAAACTTTAAGACTGTATAATATACGTAAAAATAAGTAAAAATAACTCATATGTTGTTATTCGATTTTCATTTGTTTTCGAGTTATAGCGATAATAACACAAAGTTGTAATTTTACTGCTACTTATCACATTGCTGTAACAGGTATCTGTGATTCGTTTAATAATTAGTTAACTGTCATAATAGTGTAGTGTCAACGTGATTTAATGTCTATTTGACAGTTTGTATAAAAAAAGTTGTTGCAAAATGCCACATACTTATTCAAATAGTGATTATGCAAATATGGTGTTTGTTTATGGCTTTTTTAATGGAAACGGTAGAGCTGCTGTTGAAGAATATCGTCAACGGTTTCCAAATCGGAGAACTCCAGATAAAAATGTATTTATTAGAGTTTTCAACAAACTATGCGAGACCGGAACGCTTCCTAGTTATAAAATAATATCGGAACGTGCTCCCCGACAAAGTTTACAAGAAATACAAAATATTCTGGAGTCAGTAGAAGATGATCCAGGGATTAGCTCACGAAGAATCGGTACTCATTTAGCCATTCCTCCCAACGAGAGTAATTAACACACTTCACGAGCAAGGTTTATATCCATACCACCTACAACTTGTACAGCACCTACAACCAGAAGATTATGCCAGCCGTATGCAATTTTGTCGATGGATAAATAATAATCGTCGTGTTATATCCCGCATACTTTTTACCGATGAAGCAACATTCACCAGAGACGGTATTAAATAGCCGCAACTCACATGTATGGTCAGATGAAATCACAGCAACAATTGAAGTAGTTTCAGCACAAATTTCGTAACGTGGTGTGTGTGATCGACGGTTATTTAATTGGCCCTTTCATATTTGAGAACCGCCTTACAGGAGAGGAGTACTTGAATTTTTTACAGAATGAATTGCCAGGACTCCTACAGAACATTCCACTAAATATCAGAATGCAAATGTATTATCAGCACGATGGAGCTCCTGCACATTTTGCTCGTCAGGTCAGGCAACATTTAAATACAAAATTTCCAAGGCGTTGGATTGGTCGCAATGGTCCTATTAGTTGGCCTCCGAGGTCTCCAGACCTAACACCATTAGACTATTTTTTATGGGGCTGGTTTAAAAATGAAGTTTACAAGGTAAAAGTCGACACTCGCGATGCACTAATTCGACGCATTAAAAATGTTGCAGCCACAATTAGAGCAAACCATGACGCAATCAGAAGAGCAACGTTGAATGTTCATAGACGAAGCAGAAAATGCTTACAGGTCAATGGTGGTATTTTTGAAAATTTATTATAAGAACATTTAACATTAAATTAATGTTAAGTTACAACTTTGTGTTATTATCGCTATAACTCGAAAACAAATGAAAATCGAATAACAACATATGAGTTATTTTTACTTATTTTTACGTATATTATACAGTCTTAAAATTTGGTGCGTTCCTCCCCACTCACCCTGTATATATATATATATATATATATATATATATATATATATATATATATATATATATATATATATATATATATATATATATATTTGTATATATATGCATATTTTGTATCTACCAGTGCTGTTACCCAGTGGCGCATACCACTTGGGATGATTACGCTCATCGAGCAACATCCATCTCTCGAGCCAGAGACCTTCTGGCTGGAATATGTTGAACTCCAGGCGTAAACACCCGTGGTGCATACTACTAAACGATTGTTTCTTAATTAATAATAAAACGCGTATGGCAGGTCGGGCAATGTCAATACCCTTACAATAAGAGTTTAAACCTGCCTAAGATCTTGTTGCTCTCTCTTATACTGAGAACAAGTCTTGTGTCTAAAACAAGGTTTTACTTGAATTTAGTTCGTTGGTGAATTGAAAAATAATGTTTTTGGCTCGTGTTTTTGAGCTTAAAATCGTAATTTTGCGTTTTTCTTAATGATAAATTATTTATAACTCAAAAACAATCAAGTTGACAGAAAAACTACGAAAGACCTATTTTGTTTATAAGGATCCAAAACATTCAAACAAAAATTTGTCCGGTTCTAAAAAATTTACTGTTACAGTTTGTTTAAAAAACAATTGTTAAAAAAAATGTGAAGAGTTTTCGCCTAGGCGACTTCTTGAACCCTAGATTGGAATTTCACATGAAAGTAATTATGCAAAAAAATCTAATGGGCACTTTTTCCCAAACAACCCCAGTTTTTTGCCTCGTCTAATTAAAGAAATATTGGGGCCATCTCGCTGAATATGTCACTAAAGCCACTTACAATAATAATTCACAAGAGTATTAACTGTCTTGTTCTTTTCAGGTATTATTTATTGGTATTATTTATGTTAACTTTTTATTTGAGAAAACATACATTTCACGAAAAATGTATTTCTTCGTCCATACATTACGACATCTTAAATTAACTTATTTTTAAGTAAAAATAAGAAACGTATCTTGAATAACGTAACTTTTTGATTTTTAGGTCAGTTCTATATGTTTGATCCCCATGAGCGTGACCTAGAAGGATATCCAATAGGCCAGGATTGCTGTGGATGCGGTGCAGCGATTCTAATGAGATTTAATGACGTTGACAGGTTGGTGTATCGGCTAATATCAAATTTGACCCCTAAGCATGTGGAAATACAGGAACTAAATCACGAAGCTGAGGAATCAGAAAATGAGGATAAATCTTTATTTACATTGTGGTTGGCCTCTATTGAAATCAAATAATTTTATTTTCACAGTTCCGTGAAACCAAACTTTGGAATGACAGTCAGAACGATCAGCAATATCTACGTTTTAAAATGTATTGCTGATTTATTTATTATTATATTATTTATTTATATTAAATGATATTTACTAATAGTTTGTTTTTGTTTATTCAAATTAAATTGAATTAAATTTGTTTTTGTTTATTTATCGTTTAAACGTCAGACGTGACCTTATTAACCCTTAACTTGTCGGTGTGTACTTCAGGATACGTTATCTATTAAAATGTACTTCCTCTACATAAACGTAAGTTTGCCGCTAGCTTTTAAACGTGCCCTCTCTATATAGCATTCGGCTAACCAATAAATTAATTTGAATGTCATACACAGAGATTTGCACCAATCAGAGAGTGTTTTATGTAGACGTGCTCAAAATAGCTTCCAAAGAAGGTGCTAGTTTGTGTCATTCGGTAAGTAAATTAATTTTTTATATGTTATTGTTATTGTATGGATTGGTAAACTATAATTATAGTTAATTAGGGCTTTAGCAAATAATTGTATAAAATAATATTCATGATTTGTCTATAAATAAACAGATAGGATCAGTTTGAAAAGTAGTATCTCTGAAGACACATTGCCAGGTAAGTGGCAATTTAGTTAGTGTCCTTGGATATAGGTACTGCCAATGTATATTCCAATGAAAATGGAATGAGTATATTTTTAAAAACATTACGCGGTATATGGATAAATACTAACTGTTTCAATAAAACACTGAAAACTTTGTTTTCAAACGTCCACAAAATTTATTTTAACTCTTATCACTACAGCTGTTTCGGCTAATTGCCTTTCTCAAGTGATCTATTTTTGGCATGCGTTTACAATTTATAGTCTCTAATGAAATAGGTTGAGGAGGGGAGAACTGTTTGTCTCCAGTTGGTCATTCAGAATTATATCTGTGTTTTTTAATTTGTTGATTTCCATAGATTCTAACAAATAATTTACAATAGAAACAGAACAGAATCAATCCATGTCTCCGGCTTCTATATACCATGAAGCTTCGCCTATCTTAAAAAAGTTTTAAGTGTTTGTTTGTCTTTGTGTATGTATTGTGATATTCCATTTTATATTTATTACATTCTACTTTTGTCGGATAGGCCGCAATTGACGAAATGTCCCTGAGGATGATCTAGTGATCGAAAGTACTTGGGCAAGATTAAATTAATACTGTGTTCGATATTTGCCTTGTATATCATCAAAGTTTAAATAATGAACTATCTCAAAGTTATATTCCTTGTCTGGGGCAGATACTTTCCAAAACTGTCCTTAATGTTCATTATTTGCCCTCATCTCCATATACTTTGTTTTCTTTTCATTTACTATCAGCCCATACACCATGGCTTTTCTCTCGAGTCTTTTAAAATATTTCTCTTAATTATGTTGATCTTCTTGTTATTAGAGCAAGGTCGTCCGCGTATGCTACGCATTGTGTCTGTGGTGGTAGATTGAGCCTTTAGTGTGTATATTGCTTTTCCTTAAAATTCTTTCCAGTATAAGATTAAAAAATACAGTAAACAGGGGTCACCTTGTCGTAGGCCTCTAGTGATGTTAAAACTGTCAGAGACTTGACCTTCTATCATAACTTTACTTTTGTTTCATTCAGAAAGGATTTAGTTAATCGTATTATTTTATCCGAAATGTCAAAATATTTTAATGTGTTGATCAATTTATGTTTGTTTATTGTGTCATATGCCTATCGAAAATCTATAAACAATATGTTTAATGACAGATTGAATTCATATGAACTAGCCAGAATGTGTTTAAATCTAAAAACTTGGTCTGTTACTGATCTATTTTCTCTAAAACCAGATGATATTTATCCAGGTTTTCTTCAATGTTGGTAATAATTATATTTGTGATCAATATAGCTAGAACTTTATACATTGTGTCTTGTAATGCTATACCCTTGTAGTTTTTACATTCAATAACATATAATTAAGATATGCTAAAAAATGAAAACAAAGAAACAGTTTCAGTCACATATAAAATAAACCATAGAACACACCTGGGCAGTCGACCAGTCAAGCACGGAAATGTGGAACAACTGCAAGGGGGCTCTAAAATTAGGAGCTGAGAGCACATTGGGAATATCCCGAATCCAAAAAAGAAACGACTGCAAAAATATAACAGATGAGAAAAACGAGGCATTTAGGACCATGCAACAACGAAAAACTAGAACAACAATAGATAGATACAAAAACTTAGGAGAGAGGAAAAACGCATACACCGAAAAAAGAAACGAGACTCGGAAAATGACGTATTAGAATGGCTCGAAAGCCATATGAGTCACGGAGAAACAAGAAAGTTCTATCATCAAATAAATATTATTAGAAAAGAATTCAAACCAAGAATCAACTATTGTAATGATAAAGAAGGTAACTTACTTACCAACAAAGAGGATATCCTTTTACGATGGGTAGAGCACTTTCGAGAGTTGCTGGAAGGGGAACCTACTAACATATAGAGCTGGAATACCGAAATGAGGAACTCGTGGAACCCCCCTCGGTAGATGAAGTGAAAATATCTATAGAAAAACTAAGGAACCACAAATCCCCAGGTAGCGATGGCATCCCAGCAGAGTTATTTAAGCACGGTGGAGAGCAGCTCACCAAGGTGATGCGAGAAATTGTTTGTAGAATTTGGTCTGAGGAGCAAATGCCTGAAGAATGGAGCTTAGGCTTAATTTGCCCATTACACAAAAAGGGAAACCAACTGGAATGCAATAATTAACGCGGAATAACTCTCCTAAATACAGCATACAAGATATTGTCAAACATTTTGCACGAGAGATTAAAGCCTTATACCGAAATGTTTCTAGGAGAATATCAGGCAGGATTCAGGCGTGGACGTTCAACCATTAACCAGATCTTTACACTACGACAGATCCTCGAAAAAGCGCAAGAGTTTAACATAGATATGTATCATATTTTTGTCGATTTTAAAGCGGCATATGACAGTGTCTTAAGACCAAGTCTTTACAACGCTATGAATGAGTTAGGAATTCCAAAAAAAACTCATGTTTGATAAAAGTGACAATGGCGAAGATGCTATCAGCAGTAAAAATTCAAAACGACTCGTCAACCCATTTGAAATACATAGGGGGTTAAGGCAGGGAGATGCGCTGGCGTGTCAGCTTTTTAATGTCGCCTTAGAAAAAGTTGTACGAGACGCTAATTTAGATAGCAGGGGAACAATATTTAATAGATCAGTCCAAATTCTAGCATATGCAGACGACGTGGACATTATAAAGAACAGGGCGAGAACTGCGAAATCCTAACCGAGCTAGTAGCAGCAGCAGAACGAATGGGGTTACATATAAATCAAAATAAAACCAAATTCATGGCGACTAACACAAACACAAGAGCTGGAAATGTTGACGCAAATTTAATCATCAATGACCAAAACTTCGAAGCAGTCAAAGAGTTCATATATCTAGGGACATCGGTTAACCCCAATAATAACACATCTGAGGAAATAAAAAGGCGAATAATAATTGCAAACAGGTGTTATCATGGTCTATCAAAGTACTTAGCTAACAAACGTCTGTCTCAAAAAACTCGTATAAGGCTGTATAGAACACTGATAGTCCCCGTTCTCACATATGGATCAGAGGCATGGACGCTAACTAAAACAGATGAATCCGCTCTATCGATTTTTGAAAGAAAGGTGCTACGCAAGATATTCGGAGCGGTCTGTGAGAACGGAATATGGAGGCGTAGATATAACTTTGAACTGCAGAATATCTACAAGCATACGTTTGGTGGTAAAGATATTACCACTATAATTAAGCGAAACCGCCTGCAGTGGGCAGGACATGTAGCCCGGGCCCCTGAATCGAACATGATAAAAAAGATTCTAACAGCGCAACCCGTGGGAATGAGAAGACGGGGTAGACCAAAGCTGAGGTGGATGGATGGGGTAACACAAGATGCGGAGAAGATCGGAGTCGGCAACTGGAAAATGCAAGCAAGGGACAGAACAGAATGGCGTAGAAAGCTTGAGAAGGTCGAGGCCCTCTAAGGGCTGTAGCACCAAGATGATGGTGATAGATAGAACTTTATACATTGTGTCTTGTAATGCTATACCCCTGTAGTTTTTACATTTAATAATATTTACTTTATTATTTATTGGACATAACACGGCTTCTCTCCACCTTTTTGACATTTGGTCTTTGGTCTACACTTCATGTATTAACTTTCTTCTTCCTATAGGCTTTGGCAACCTTCCTTTAGGAACTCTGCTATGATGATACATTTTTAGTAATCAATATAAAAAAAGACCAAAAATAAACAACAATATAAATTTATTTAACTCAGACTTTCATTTTATACAAGGTGGTCCAGAATTATGTACATTAATTTCTAGAGCTCATAGTACGTCCAAAAATAAGGGTACTTCTTTATGTACACTTTTTTATAAAACTGAATAATAAGGGAGATACAACCCTTTAAAGGGTGAATTGAAATTCTTATTTTTTCAAATATCTTCCAAACGGTTTTGAATACGGAGTTCATATTTTGGGAGTGATTATAAGACATTAGGATAATTAATTTCATGTCACCACCTACCACATCCTATATTAATACAGGGTAGTTTTGGAGGGTAAGTGGGGGTTATTGCGTCACATGTTTTTTAATTTTTACATATTTTAAAAAAATATTTTAAAAATTGTTTCCTTAGACTTTTCTACGCAAAAAAGGTGCTCTTGTAATATTTCGATAGATATCACCGTTTTCGATTTATTTAAACTCGAAGGTATACATGTATTTTATTGTAATCGTTACATTTCTTAATATTCATCAAGTATGCTTTGGAATTGACACTTGTGTTAGCAATAATATTACAAATTAATGAAAAACTTAATTAATACTTAACATTTAATTAATGGCGAAAATAATATTTCACAACAACTGTTCAAAATGTCCTCCATTTTGTTGAATACATAATCTAATTCTTTTATTTAGCGAACGCATTAATCCATTTAATGTTACTGGATCGTTTTGTAAATCGGTAAATACTTGTTCAATTTTGTCTCTTAACTCATTTACTGTATTAATTGGAGTGTTATACACTTTTGATTTCAAATAACTCCATACTGTAAAGTCCATTGGATTAAGATCACAATCGAGCGCAATGATCGGTGCATCGCACCGGCTATCACTATCAGGGAAATGTTCATGTAACCACCTTCTACAAATTCTTGTGTAATGTGGTGTAGCACCGTTATGCATGAAAAACATGTTTCTTCGTATTTGTAATGGAATATATTCCAAAATATCATGTAAAATATTGTCTAGAAAATTGTAATAGGTATCATTTAAATTTCCGGGAAATATGTGGTATCCTATGAAATGGTGTTGGAAGTGAGTTTCCATTGTAGCCCTTGGATTTTCTTCAGCCCAGAAGTGCATATTTCTAGAATTGAACATACCTTGTCTTGTAAATGTGGCCTCGTCTGTAAACAGAATGTTGCTTAAAAAATTTGGTGCAGTTTGAACTTTATTTTGCAATACTTCACAAAAATCAACTCTAAGTGGCATATCGTCAGGTAACAATTCCTGCACCTGTCGATAGTGGTAAGGATGTAATTGCTCTTCATGCAGAACTCTTAAAACACTTTGATGGGAAATATTCGTTCTTAATCCTAACCTGCGTGTACTTATTGTGGGGTCATTTATTACAGCATCCAATATTTGCTGTTCAACGCGAACATTTCTTGCTTCTCTACGACGACCAGCATCTGTATTCCTTCTTTGAAGACAACTGGTTTCTCTCAGTCGTCGTTCAGTACTTACAAAAGTCCTGGCATTGGGAATATTTCTGTTCGGATACTTTTCTCTGTAGCGTCTTACAGCGGCAGCAGCATTTCCCGAACATTCCCCTAATACTAAAAGTATGTCTGTCATCTCAGAATTTGAATAGTGTGCCATATTGCGGGCAAACAAATTTAAAAATATAGCAAAAGAGACGTGTTAAACAAATTTCACTGTCGAGTACAATAAAAGTGTAGATAAAATAATTTAATTGTTATTAAACGTCACTGACAATTCATAGACTACTTGAGATTAAAGTGTTGTTGCTAACACAAGTGTCAATTCCAAAGCATACTTGATGAATATTAAGAAATGTAACGATTACAATAAAATACATGTATACCTTCGAGTTTAAATAAATCGAAAACGGTGATATCTATCGAAATATTACAAGAGCACCTTTTTTGCGTAGAAAAGTCTAAGGAAACAATTTTTAAAAAAATATGTAAAAATTAAAAAACATGTGACGCAATAACCCCCACTTACCCTCCAAAACTACCCTGTATTAATATAGGATGTGGTAGGTGGTGACATGAAATTAATTATCCTAATGTCTTATAATCACTCCCAAAATATGAACTGCGTATTCAAAACCGTTTGGAAGATATTTGAAAAAATAAGAACTTCAATTCACCCCTTTAAAGGGTTGTATCTCCTTTATTATTTAGTTTTATAAAAAAGTGTACATAAAGAAGTACCCTTATTTTTGGACGTACTATGAGCTCTAGAAATTAATGTACATAATTCAGGACCACCTTGTATTATAATACATTGTATATTATATTATATATATATATATATATATATATATATATATATATATATATATATATATATATATAATAAAATACATTTTAAATGCCGTACACTCCTCCACCTGGTTTTCTAGAGTCATGTATTCCTATAATCTGATTATTCTGTTTTTGTAAAACGTATACAGCTGAGTCAGTTTTTCTATCTGTTGTATGTCCAAGAGTTTTCAGTTTCTGTACTAGTTCCTAAAACAAGACAAGTGTAAATGAAAACCAAAAATTCTTAAAGCTATTAAACAGTGTAACTAATTTCCGTTGAAAGTTCTCTATTGTGAATTTCTCTATAAAAAATTAATATTATATTGTCTCAATAACAAACGAAACAGTAAAAACAATCAAAAAAATTAGTAATGCAAACAAAGGTTCATTAAACAAGAATGGGTTTGGCATTTTATAAATATTTGATTTTTAAATAATGTAAAAGAAATAACCATTATTAATCCTATAATATGATTGCATAAAGCGAAAGTGATAAGAGCTTTAACATTTTATATCATTGTTTTTAGACTCTTCGCTGGCATACCATATATCCCTTCTGTTTTCCTTGTTTATTAGTTGATTGAGAGTCTTCTCTATAAATGATTAGTTCTGCCTCTTTTATTGCATGTTTCTTGTGTTCTGAATATTTTGAATGTCTTTTTATAATTCTGAGCAGTTATTTTTCTAGGTTTCTGCAATGTTCTCTATGTCGATTTTTACCTCTCCAATATGGTCCTTAATAGCTTGAAGTTGTGGCTTGAAGTTGTCGCTTGGGTCAAATATTTAACTTTTTTAAATAGTTCCTGACTGTCATGGCGATTTGCATATTGCTTCAGTTCATGACACACATTTTTTATATGGTTATTTCTATCTTTAATGCACATACATTTTATTTCCCTGCTTAGCTCCGCTATTTCTTAAGTATTGTTTCCTATTTTTGTGGTATGTTGTAGCATACGTCTTCTTTCTTGCATTAATTCTTAGGTTTTTCATGAAATCCAATGGGTTCTTAATGTTCTCCTGGGTTGTTTCGCTGAATTTGTCTAGCTTTTAATTCCATTACATGTTTTATATGTGCCTTTTAACATTTGTGGTTATTTCATATTTATTAGTTTTAACTGGAATTCTTCCGCAATATTTACTCTTAGCTGTTTTATCTGATGTATTTTTGTAGTTGTGATGAGCTTGATCCTGCAGTTAACTTTTAGCAGCTTAGCATCTAATTCAGAGTCTACCTCTACTCTATATCAGGGGTGCTCAGACTTGTAGTGTTTATTATTTATTATTTTATGTTAATATTTTAAATATAAGCGATCGACTACCGACTACTATTCGTATAACTAAACTGGAGCCTAAATACTGAAATACGTAGATTTCTGAAATTACTTGTATTGTGAATGCTTATAAATGCATTTTGTGTTTTTAAATATTTCTATTTTACTTCTTTAAGTTCTACTTGTCGTAATTTAATACATACTGACATAATGCTCCATCACCCCAGCTTGTTATACAAGAAACACACTCGAGAACGATCGATAAAGCGCAGATGTATTATCACAAGCTGACCACACATCTGGACACATCTGTAAATCTTTTAGTCTGTATAAATTCCCGGGAGTTCCCGCAATATCTACACGAGCATTAAAAAAAATGGATATTGACCTATGTAAGCTGCCGCAGCTATATGCCTATTTGGAACGTTCACCTACTACTTGAGTGTAGATCGGAATAGAATCATTAAAAAAATGGAAAAGAAGAAGTCAGAAGTCAGATGTGTGAAAAGGCGTCGGACGTTCGCACCGAAACCCTTTGATCTGTTGCAATCGACTCCCGATCGACTGTTTGAGTAAGCTACTCTATATAATATGGACATTTCTATATATTTTCTCTATAAAATCTGTATAAGTACCTATAATTAACTCGCCTATTTTTTAATCAACGTTCTATTCAATCAAATGGTTTTCCAAATCGACAAACAAGCAATGTGGTATTTATCATGCGTTTTAAATAATACTTACGTCTATTAATCCATACTCATACACAAGTGTCATTGGAAGTAGTTGGTGGTGAACCTTTGGCGTATCTATTGCTTCTTTGAGGTTATTATTAAACCATAGCAGTCTTACCAACGTCTAAAAATATTGACAATAAGAATAAATTTAATTCTAATTATATAGAATTTTTCTACCTAATCCGTAGCCAGCCAATCAGTTATATTATGAATACATAATACAATAATCGATATTATGTAATAATACTACGCAATGTTTTGATGAAATAAATAGAATTAAATACTTATTAGGAAAGCTCCTAAATATAACAACGTTTGTGAATGGTAATGCGCTAAGGTGATTCAGTTACAGTAAAATAAAATTAACCAAAATATATTTTAGAACTTATTCAGGTATACTGACAAAACTGCATCTGAAGCCTTAGTTCTTAACTGGGTATCCTGTAGATTTTTTTAAATTGAGAGTAAATACTGAGCTTTGATAATTTTCAATACCCTATATCTATGATGAATGAGGCAGCAATTAGTACTTTAAAAATGATCAGACACAAAAAATAAAACCGAGAGATTTATTGAAGAATGGCTTTACTGAAAGCCTTGATCCAAACAATATACACCATGGCAGTTGTGTTCGACTGTGACCCGCTATTTCAACTGATAGAAAATCAGAAAATGGGTGAATCTAAAGCATAATTAACGGTTTACGAGTCTAATATGAGTACTAGAGTTTATATTTATGATATAGGAATATATTCAATAAAGTTAAGAGGGCTTCACAGGAGAAATCGATACAAAATTTCTCACTTATTTGAAATATCCTAAGATATTTTGCCAGGACAAAATTGCTTTAAAAGCTTTTTAAAATGTACTTAGGAATTAAAGGTTAATATGGTTCTCAAGCTATTTTCTTATGGCATTTTTATGTGATTTACCATATTTAATGAAAATTATCCAGAATTTGGGTTGCAGGTACGTTTATTTTGAGGTTTCAATCTCTTTCGTAAATCGTTCTTAAAATACAATATTTATTGCAGAAATTTTTTAAAACGACTTTCGAATTAAAAATCAAAATATCAAACAAACAATTGGACTACGTAAGGCCTAAGTTTTCATTCAACGTGACTAGAAGTAGAGCCGGAAGTCGATATTTGAACTCTTCGTGTAACTTTGCATCGATTGATATATGATGAATAGTGATCTATTTCAATGTGTAGGCATTTCTTGGAATGCGGCACTTCCGGTTACAACTTTTTAATCTAAAATTTTATAAAACCAGAAGAACATATTTGCTCTCATTTTACTAAGGCGCGTCTAATAATATATCGCTTGTACTATTTCGGCGACTTTAAAACAGTTCTTCCGGTTTTGACTCTAGAATCGGAAATCCAAGATCAAATTTCTAACCGCTAATACCATCTTTGAGTTATAAGCTTTCATTCGATACCTCATTTGTCATTCTATCTGTTCTAATAATGGAGGAGTTGTGTTGACGGAAGAGTAGGGAGACATGGATAATAAAATATAGGTCAAACTGGCCACAGGTGTATGTTTTTAAAAACTTGATAGGGTGTAAAATATTTATTAAAAATCGGCTAAGTACTTTCAATTTGTCACATGCTATCGTCAGAGCTTTGACTCATAGAAGGTTATAAATACTTCATAGAAAGGTAATTTCTAACACAAAACACATTAAAAACACACATTAAAAATCCAAAGTCTTTGTTATAGGGCCTTTTTAAAATTTGAAAAATCACATTTGAAAGTGCTTATTAAACTAATAGCTACCTGATTGAAGCAAGGAGAAAATAGGAACCTTGACATATATGCAGGTAGTTAAGGAATTAAAAGAAATAAAGAAGCTAATAACAGCAAAATAAGGAGTAAACGCGCCTTTACCAACTTAACACGCCAACACTCAATCAGATTTGTAAAATTATTGAAACAGACCTAAACACTAAATAGACTTATTCAGCTGTCCCAAGTAGATACACTGTAAGTGCCAATTAGATAATTGTTTACCAGAGCAGAAAACATGAAGAAATCAACTTTTCAAATTTCTATTTTGTCTGAAATAAAAGTGAACACACATTAATACAGCATAAAATACTTTTGTTTTTAATAAATATTTTTATGTTAGTATTTTATTTCCTGGCTAGGTTTTGAACACATACAGTGTTTTTATTTGGGAAACCTAAAAATATAAAATAGACTATCCTAATGTGTAAAGACATTAAGTAATACAAATTATACTCTATTCGCGTTAATTTAACAAAAATATAAAAATATTGGTTTAAAATCATTTTAGTGGTCATTTTCCTGTAATTACTGCAATCCACGGTTATGGAGGAGATCGTCCACTACTCTCTCGAACACCAACAAATTAAGCCAAAACGATCTTCTGTTCTCAGGCATCAAAGGAAGAAGTTTCTGTATTATTTCATCTTTTTTGCTTTTACGTATACCTCGTACGTTGGTATTCTGGAAAATTTTACACCACGAACCTTATTTGCAGAAATTCAAGCTCCTGTAGTTTTCATCTTCGACGTTGGTTTTGAATTTAAGGGAGCTATAGCCTCGTGAAAAAAGCTTTTATGGGATTTATTAAAAATGTTTTCAAAGGATCATTTTCATCTCCCTTTCGGGGTTTCCATTTTTTTGGCCATTCTTTGCCAAATTTTGGTCTTGCCGATTTCCCTTTTTGAATGCCGGTAATAATAGTGATCTGTTTCAATGTGTAGTCATTTCTTCCCTCCCCCATACAATTTTATGAGCTTATGTAATTGTTCTGCTAATTTTTCTTTTAAATATTTAATAAGATTTGAATTTATTCCATTTTCTCCTGGACTCTTGCCGTTATCTAAATATTTTATTTTATTTTTTTTTATTTCCTAGAGATGGTGGATGGAAGATTATTTCGTCGTTTATATTCTCTTCGGTGTGATATTTGTTTGTAGAAGTAGTTTCTACATTTAGAACTTCCTTAAAATATTCCTTCCATCTGTTTACTATTCTTACTTCATCTGCTATTAATTCTCCAGTTTTGATATTTATAAAACGGGGTCATTTTCCTATTGTATTGCTGTTATTTTGAACTTCTTAAAAATTTAAAAAAGTTAATTGAAAAAAAAAGAAAACTAAAAAACTTTTATTTTTCTCAAAAAAACTTTCTTTTTCTTGATTTGCAGATTTCATATTTAGTCTTCTCATATTCATAGCTTCCTAAAAAAGAAATGACAAAACTTATACTCTCTTTCACAGATAAGGAACATGTCTATTAAAAGCTAATCAACTTCGTTAGAGATGTTGGCATTCTGGATTGACTAGATTAGGATTATGTACAAATGATCTTAACAACCTAAACTGCTGAGAGGTTAAATAGCCTGTACGATATTGCTGCACAATATTCAATCCATATCCAAGAGACTTATTATTATTAGCCATTTATATTACTATAATTAATAAAATTACTGAGGATATGTTATATTATGACGATAGAAGAAAAATTAGTTCATTAGAGGAAGAGAATTTTAAATTATTGGTCACCATGTGTCTGTAATCTTGTTTTTAATTTTATTATATGTCTCATTAGAATTGCTACAAAAATACTTACTTGAGCTATAGATGTTATAATTTTCGGTCCACCAATTCCTCCTATAACTAATTTAACATTGTCGTGTTTATCTGTTAAAATCGACGGGGACATTGAAGACAATGGTGTTTTTCCAGGTTCGGCTTTATTAATATCTGCACCAATTAAGTCGAAATTGTTCTTCAAAAACTCAAAAGAAAAGTCGGCCATAGCATTATTGAAAACAAAGCCCGTTCTCTTACCTGTTTTGGCAGCTCCAAATCTAAAACAACATGATGTAACAATAAAAAAATAACATCTGGGAGATACATTTTAAACAGTTTATATATATATATATATATATATATATATATATATATATATATATATATATATATATATATATATACAAGGTGGTCCAGAATTATGTACATTAATTTCTAGAGCTCATAGTACGTCCAAAAATAAGGCTACTTCTTTATGTACACTTTTTTATAAAACTGAATAATAAGGGAGATACAACCCTTTAAAGGGGTGAATTGAAATTCTTATTTTTTCAAATATCTTCCAAACGGTTTTGAATACGGAGTTCATATTTTGGGAGTGATTATAAGACATTAGGATAATTAATTTCATGTCACCACCTACCACATCCTATATTAATACAGGGTAGTTTTGGAGGGTAAGTGGGGGTTATTGCGTCACATGTTTTTTAATTTTTACATATTTTAAAAAAATATTTTAGAAATTGTTTCCTTTGACTTTTCTACGCAAAAAAGGTGCTCTTGTAATATTTCGATAGATATCACCGTTTTCGATTTATTTAAACTCGAAGGTATACATGTATTTTATTGTAATCGTTACATTTCTTAATATTCATCAAGTATGCTTTGGAATTGACACTTGTGTTAGCAACAACACTTTAATCTCAAGTAGTCTATGAATTGTCAGTGACGTTTAATAACAATTAAATTATTTTATCTACACTTTTATTGTACTCGACAGTGAAATTTGTTTAACACAACTCTTTGGCTATATTTTTAAATTTGTTTGCCCGCAATATGGCACACTATTCAAATTCTGAGATGACAGACATACTTTAGTATTAATTATTAATAATGCCAGGACTTTTGTAAGTACTGAACGACGACTGGGAGAAACCGGTTGTCTTCAAAGAAGGAATACAGATGCTGGTCGTCGTAGAGAAGCAAGAAATGTTCGCGTTGAACAGCAAATATTGGATGCTGTAATAAATTACCCCACAATAAGTATACGCAGGTTAGGATTAAAAACGCATATTTCCCATCAAAGTGTTTTAAGAGTTCTGCATGAAGAGTAATTACATCCTTACCACTATCGACAGATGCAGGAATTGTTACCTGACGATATGCCACTTAGAGTTGATTTTTGTGAAGTATTACAAAATAAAGTTCAAACTACACCAAATTTTTTAAGCAACATTCTGTTTACAGACGACGCCACATTTACAAGACAAGGTATGTTCAATTCTAGAAATATGCACTTCTGGGCTGAAGAAAATCCAAGGGCTACAATCGAAACTCACTTCCAACACACGTTCAAGATAAACGTTTGGGCAGCTACTTTAGGAAATAGTTTCATAGGATACCACATCTTTCCCGGAAATTTAAATGGTAACATGTATTACAATTTTCTAGACAATATTTTACATGATATGTTGGAAGATATTCCATTACAAATACGAAGAAACATGTTTTTCATGCATGATGGTGCTACACCACATTACACAAGAATTTGTAGAAGGTGGTTGCATGAACATTTCCCTGATAGGTGGATAGGCCGGGGTGCGGATGCACCGATTCATTGGCTTGCTCGTAGTTGTGATCTTAATCCAATGGACTTTACAGTATGGAGTTATTTGAAATCAAAAGTGTATAACACTTCAATTAATACAGTAAATGAGTTAAGAGACAAAATTGAACAAGTATTTACCGATTTACAAAACGATCCAGTAACATTAAATGGATTAATGCGTTCGCTAAATAAAAGAATTAGATTATGTATTCAACAAAATGGAGGACATTTTGAACAGTTGTTGTGAAATATTATTTTCGCCATTAATTAAATGTTAAGTATTAATTAAGTTTTCCATTAATTTTTAATATTATTGATAACACAGTTTGAAAATTTCAGAGCATACTTAATACGAAGTTTATATTTTGGGAGTGATTATAAGACATTAAGATAATTAATTTCATGTCACCACCTACCACATCCTATATTAATACAGGGTAGTTTTGGAGGGTAAGTGGGGGTTATTGCGTCACATGTTTTTTAATTTTTACATATTTTAAAAAAATATTTTAAAAATTGTTTCCTTAGACTTTTCTACGCAAAAAAGGTGCTCTTGTAATATTTCGATAGTTATCACCGTTTTCGATTTATTTAAACTCGAAGGTATACATGTATTTTATTGTAATCGTTACATTTCTTAATATTCATCAAGTATGCTTTGGAATTGACACTTGTGTTAGTAACAACACTTTAATCTCAAGTAGTCTATGAATTGTCAGTGACGTTTAATAACAATTAAATTATTTTATCTACACTTTTATTGTAGTCGACAGTGAAATTTGTTTAACACGTCTCTTTTGCTATATTTTTTAAATTTGTTTGCCCGCAATATAGCACACTATTCAAATTTTGAGATGACATACATACTTTTAGTATTAGGGGAATGTTCGGGAAATGCTGCTGCCGCTGTAAAACGCTACAGAGAAAAGTATCCGAACAGAAATATTCTCAATGCCAGGACTTTTGTAAGTACTGAACGATGACTGAGTGTAATAAATAATCCCACAATAAGTACACGCAGGTTAGGATTAAGAACGAATATTTCTCATCAAAGTGTTTTAAGAGCTCTGCATGAAGAGCAATTACATCCTTACCACTATCGACAGGTGCAGGAATTGTTACCTGACGATATGCCACTTAGAGTTGATTATTGTGAAGTATTGCAAAATAAAGTTCAAACTGCACCAAATTTTTTAAGCAACATTCTGTTTATAGACGAGGCCACATTTACAAGACAAGGTATGTTCAATTCTAGAAATATGCACTTCTGGGCTAAAGAAAATCCGAGGGCTACAATGGAAACTCACTTCCAACACACGTTCAAGATAAACGTTTGGGCAGCTACTTTAGGAAATAGTTTCATAGGATACCACATCTTTCCAGGAAATTTAAATGGCAACATGTATTACAATTTTCTAGACAATATTTTACATATTTTGGAAGATATTCCATTACAAATACGAAGAAACATGTTTTTCATGCATGATGGTGCAACGCCACATTACACAAGAATTTGTAGAAGGTGGTTACATGAACATTTCCCTGATAGATGGATAGGCCTGGGTGCGGATGCACCGATTCATTGGCCTGCTCGTAGTTGTGATGTTAATCCAATGGACTTTACAGTATGGAGTTATTTAAAATCAAAAGTGTATAACACTCCAATTAATACAGTAAATGAGTTAAGAGACAAAATTGAACAAGTATTTACCAATTTACAAAACGATCCAGTAACATTAAATGGATTAATGCGTTCGCTAAATAAAAGAATTAGATTATGTATTCAACAAAATGGAGGACATTTTAAACAGTTGTTGTGAAATATTATTTTCGCCATTAATTAAATGTTAAGTATTTATTAAGTTTTTCATTAATTTGTAATATTATTGCTAACACAAGTGTCAATTCCAAAGCATACTTGATGAATATTAAGAAATATAACGATTACAATAAAATACATGTATACCTTCGAGTTTAAATAAATCGAAAACGGTGATATCAATCGAAATATTACAAGAGCACCTTTTTTGCGTAGAAATGTCTAAGGAAACAATTTTTAAAATATTTTTTTAAAATATGTAAAAATTAAAAAACATGTGACGAAATAACCCCCACTTACCCTCCAAAACTACCCTGTATTAATATAGGATGTGGTAGGTGGTGACATGAAATTAATTATCCTAATGTCTTATAATCACTCCCAAAATATGAACTTCGTATTCAAAACCGTTTGGAAGATATTTGAAAAAATAAGAATTTCAATTCACCCCTTTAAAGGGTTGTATCTCCCTTATTATTCACTTTTATAAAAAAGTGTACATAAAGAAGTACCCTTATTTTTAGACGTACTATAAGCTCTAGAAATTAATGTACATAATTCTGGACCACCTTGTATATATATATATATATATATATATATATATATATATTATATATATATATATATATATATATATATATATATATATATAAATATATTTATATATATATATATATATATATATATATATAATAATGAAAACAGAAATACAATAAATTAACTTAGAAATATATACAACCAGATATGCAGTGTTGATTAGTAGATTTATTTAGATAGTAATTGAAGACATAATTTATAAGTTATATATTAGATAATATTATTAAAAAATAATTATATGAGGGTATTTTTAAGAATTTAGCATAAGAATTAAGTTTAAGAAGTTTTTGTTTATTTTATTTAATATTTAATATGTTTAATTCAGCCATGTGCTATGCAACCAAACATACACTGTAGTGTCAAAGTCAAAAAGTTATTTATTTTTGGAATGTTAATTTAGAATATAATTGTGGATGTAAAATTGTAAAAATATAGTTCATATAAATGTTTAAGTTACATATAATAGTGTAGTTCTGATCTGGAGAGCCTAAAGTCAAGTAAATTATAGATAGAAAACTCTAGAAATGTCAATGGAACTGTGTACATGGTACATAGCAGACAAGGAATCATTCCAGATTGTTTATATAGAAACAAATAGAAGGATTCGAACATGATTTATTGCTAGAATATTCTGGAAACAATGAAAGGATATAAAAGCCATGTAATTTGGCGAGAGAGTCAGTTAGCAGTTATGAGTTAGAGTTTAGTCAGTCAGTTATGAGTTCAGTTCAGTTAAGTTCAGTTACCAGTTCAGTTATCAGTTATCAGTTAGTAAAGTTATAATTCAAGAATTTAGTTACAAGAAGATTATTAATTGAGTTAAGTAAGTTAGTTAGAAGATATTAAATCAGTTACAAGATTATTATTGAGGAGTTAGTTATAACAATTTAAGGATTATTAAGTCAGTTATTTATGAGGTTATGAAGAGATTATTCAATGCTAGAAGAAGGCATTGATTAAGTTAAATGAATTATTAAGTTAAATACAGTTGGAGATTAATTATTACTACAGTAATATAGTGACAGTTTTGAAGT